TGAAAAAAAAAATTTTTTTTTTACCCATATTAACTGTTTTGTAAATAAATTTCGCATTGACATTGCTATTTCTGCGAACATCTTAAAAAGCGTACATAAAGGCAGTACTGAAACATTTAAAATTGTCTCGTACTGCAGTACAATCATTTTAAGAACTAATGTCCTAAAAATTTTTGTCCTAAAAATTTTCTATATTTTCCTAATAAAATTTTTTTTTTGTGCAAATTTGCCTTTTTTTCCACTGTTATAAATACCTTTGCTGTTTTTGGAAAATTTGTTGCATACTTCAAAATAATGCACCTTTACTGATCACAATTTATAATGATGCTCCAACTTACTATTCAGTGTTATCAAAACACTTCATTCAATATTTTTCTCACAATTTGCAAAAACTTTTTAGCAATTTATTGTAAGTTATTAACTTGTTTGAGCTTTAATACTGGTTTAAGTGTGAGTGCTAGAGTATACAGAATTATAGAAAAACAATATCATTTGTTAATAACAATTAAAAAATCTTAGTTAAATTACTTGCTTATGACTTAACATCCAAACTTGTATTTGTGGCAATCAATTTAATTCTTAAAAATTATTATTAAATAATGTTTACGTTGAATGAGTATCTTATGATCTAAAATAATAGAAGGTTAAAGATTTTTTTTTTTGTTTGTTTAGTTTTTATTCTCAAATACGCAGATGTTGAATTTATATTAAGTTAAAGGATTAATTCTTATTAAGCTTAATAAAAATTATTTTAAGTTGGGTTGCCACAAAATAATATACGTTTTTCAGTACTCTAAATATTAAAATGTGATAGGATTAATCACATGTTTTTTTTCTTTATCGAATAAGGTCATTCTATCTTAAAATAATAAATTTATTAAATTTTAGAAATAAAATTTTAGTTCTTCAATATTGATAAAGCTGCGAACAAAATTTTCACTAAGCAAACTGTAACATTTAGATAGATATTTAGTTAAGTAAATCGTAGCTTCTTAGTTGGCTTTTCTTCTTGCTCTATTTTTTAAAGAATATTCTACACAAAAATTGTTGAGTCTTTTTTTTTGTTAATTTCTCCTTATTTTCTGTTGAAACCACTATAAAGGCCTGTTTTTGCCACACATAGATATATTAATGTTTATCATACATTGATTTATAAATTAATCGACTAAAATAAAACATTTGTGAACTTCAGATAGTGTTAGTGATCTTGACAGAAGTATTGACTGTTGTTTTGATAATAAAATTTTTATTCTAATATATACATCATTGATAATCATTTTTGTTGTTCTTCTGATCTTTAAAATCTCCATACATAAAAAATTATTTTTGAATTCATTTGAACAAATGACTATTTTGAAAAATTTTGATCTTTAAAATGTACATACAAACTGGAAATTAGTAAAATAATTTTTATGAAAATAAATGACAAAAGATGAATCCTTATTATATAGTACCTTTATCACTAATGTAGATTTTTCATGTTCTAATTATTCTTTTATAAAAAAAAGAAACACAATTATTAATATAAATTTTTTAATAAAATTCCAAAATTCTGCTTATTTCAGCTTCTGGGTTATTCGGGTATTTTCTGCTTATAAATGCAGTTGTAATAAAGTTATAGTATACAATGATAAATAATTTATAACTATGATTTTAACACTTATTAATGGTTATTGGCTTGTATTGAAAATCAGGTACATTTATCAGTTTTCAATAGTGAGAAGATACACCTCATCTGTTAATGTGAAAAATTAGTTTTACATTTATGATTTAGGAGACAGCTTATATCATGTCACTTGTCCAATGATTTGCTACTTGCTGACAATGTGGCAGAATTTTTTCGAGCTATCTTCGACAAAACTCTCTAGCACTAATGTCTTTCTACAAGATACTTTTAATAACATCGATGTTACTAATTTAAAATAGCAAAAACGTTGTGTTTACGAAATATATATATATATATATATATTTAATTGAACATGCAACAATTTTTTATTATTATATTATGGGTGAATAATTTGTGTGAATATTTTGGGTGAATAATCATCACGATAAGTAAGTAATTAAAAATCATGAAATCCGCAGAAAATTGCAGAAAAACAGATTGCTACAAAATCACGTGAGTCTGACTCCTCAGATACGTGCTTCGCTTCGAGATTAGGTTGCTGTAATAAATAATACCGCATAAAAAATATTGGATTTAAAAACTATGGAGAAATCAATAGCAATAACTGCCAAAAATTTGATAGAATTATTGTCTTAAAAAGTAAATACTCAAATGCACAATTCGAATTTTCCTTATTGTTTGAAATATATCTGGATATTTAAAAGCCACCCGAAAATCAATATCAATTATTGCGATAATACAAGTGAAACATTACATCGATTTACAATACTATTGGTGTAAATAGAGCGCTTCAAAATGTGATTATCTAAATGCACGATTCAAATATTACACATAAATTTCAGTAGGAAAAAAAAAGTAATTTTTCTTTTTAAAAGAAAAATCTTTCTGCAAGAACTCTTGACGTTCTGCGACAATGTTGTCAGGGGCTTGCTAGTATAAATATACATTATCCAATAAATTAATATTGACTAATTACTAATATTAGCCATAATAAGGAAAATATATCGCTATCAGTTAGAAATAGCAAACCACTATGTATGTAAATAAATAAACATGGGATAATAGTATTTACAGGGTAAAAACCCAACCCTGTGTTTCCCAGCAGCTTTCCGATGGTGTCATTTCCTAAAATGAGCAATTTCATAAATTAGTTTTTATTAAAATAAAGTAAAAAGCTTCAAAAAGCCATCGGGCACTCATTTAATGTGCCTCTCTTTTTTTTTTTTATCAAATTTTGCAATTTAAAAATTTTTTCTTCTCAAGTTAGGCTAAGAAAAATATTATACTGAGTATCTATTTTGTGCAAAAAAAGATGATTTAATGATAGAAGGGTGAGAAGATCTGTTCATTTTTCACAAAAATAACAATTGGATCTGTTGCATTATAAAAGGTTTCTTCTCACCATTTGGCAAATGAGAATACTAACCATTAAAAAGTAAATTTAGAGAAGTTGCCTGTTAGTGTAATTGCAGGCATTTTTTAAAATTATTTTGGTTTCCAATATAATCATCATTTAATAAGTAAAATTTTTGGTTTCAATGCATCCGTTAAATCGGGATCTGGCTGTATTTAATTGCATGGTTGCTACGCTATCTTGAAAATCAGGAAGACTTGTAAAAGTTAAGGAGTTTGAACAGCAAGCATGTGTTGTTATTCAAGGAACACATTTAATGTGTTTTTTTTACGTATAGTGTTATTTTTTGTGGTTATAGTGAAACAAAAAGGAGTGGAAATTGGATATTATGAACTTTTTTCTGTCTTCGACTGACTTATTTTCGACATATTTTCTGTAATAATTTTGAAATTATTACTTAAAAATGAATACACAGACCGATTTTTAAAATACCGTCTGTAGCATGAAATGCAGCAATAAGCATTTTTTCGTGTTTGCTTCATTATTGAATGGGTTCAGCATTCAAAGAAGCTGCAATCGTCTAGTATCTGGATGAATGCTTCGAGTCAAAGCCGATGGATTTGCTGAGTGATTACTTTTATGTGCTCGAATAGCTGGTTAGGCAGGTTTTAAAAGCAGAATAACATAAATTCGGAAAAAATTATCGGAGAGTGGGANTTTCAATGCATACGTTAAATCGGGATCTGGCTGTATTTAATTGCATGGTTGCTACGCTATCTTGAAAATCAGGAAGACTTGTAAAAGTTAAGGAGTTTGAACAGCAAGCATGTGTTGTTATTCAAGGAACACATTTAATGTGTTTTTTTACGTATAGTGTTATTTTTTGTGGTTATAGTGAAACAAAAAGGAGTGGAAGTTGGATATTATAGACTTTTTTCTGTCATCGACTGACTTATTTTCTACATATTTTTTGTAATAATTTTGAAATTATTACTTAAAAATAAATACACGGACCGATTTTTAAAATACCGTCTATAGCATGAAATGCAGCAATAAGCATTTTTTCGTGTTTGCTTCATTATTGAATGAGTTCTGCATTCAAAGAAGCTGCAATCGTCTAGTATCTGGATGAATGCTTCGAGTCAAAGCCGATGGATTTGCTGAGTGATTACTTTTATGTGCTCGAATAGCTGGTTAGGCAGGTTTTAAAAGCAGAACAACATAAATTGGGAAAAAAATTATCGGAGAGTGGGGAAATGTTTCCATATCAGATGTTGAGGACTGCTCATCAGCTAAAGATTACTAATTTGTTTTGTAGGTATGACGAAGAGTCATAAAAAATAAAAGTGAACACATTTTTTGTTACTGCTTATTATTTTTCATTCATTTTATGGGTCATTTATTTAAATAATGTATAAAAAAAATGGGGGAGTTTGGAACCATTAGTTAAAATTGCTTGCGGAACGAATGTAGTGAACTAAAATTTCAGTCCTTTGAAGCTTCACTATCGACTGTATATATAACAGACTTGTAGAGGGAGAGATCACTGACATTAATTAAAATAAAATATATAATATATAAATGACAAAAGATCAATTTTTTTGTGATTTATGGCAATGCATACAGCAACACTAGATTGGAATTTTGAAAAATATATCTAATAAACCTGGAAAAAAACAGTAGCAACCCTGCAATTGTACGAGAATTAACAACCTAGTAATACAAGTATTGAAAATGTTAACTACCAAACAATTGAATTAACATGTTGTCAAAAACTTATATGAATTCCCCTATAAACTTAAAAACTAACAATACAAGATTATTCAAGAAGTGAAAAAAAAAAATCATTAAAATTTTCAAGATTTTAGGACTGATTCTATAATAAAATCTGCATAGAAAACTTTTATGATTGTTGTTATTTCACTCATAAGATTCAACTTTGAGAACAAAAATATTTTAATTAAAACAGCAAAATATTGCAATACAGTAAAATAAATAATTAATAATAATGGGCAAATCTGCAACATAATATATTTAAATTTTTATTGCCACAAAAACTTGAATAAATTCCTTTTTTATGTGCTCTATTAAAATGTGTGTGTAAAGAAAGCTCATACAAATCATGTTTCAAATCTAAGAGGGTACCATATATAATTTCTATAATTTGAATATAATACATTATGTGTGCATTTATTACACAATATATATATCGTTTCATTCGGACTTGATTCGTGCTGGTCTTAGATCCTGAAGTTTTGGATAGTCCACAAACTCAGTACCATAATACATGATTACGGAGAATGTAGCAGCCACCATTCCAAACCAGAACAGAACAAACAAAAGTGTTTCAGAATTGTAAACTAAAAAATAAAAGCAATTTATTTGCATCATTTTCAAGAAAATACATGATCAGGTAAACTAAAATTTACATACATTATTACTTCTAGAAAATATTTCGTGATATAAATCAAAAATGTTCGAGAAAATGAATTTACATGCATTATTAATTCAAGAAAATAGGATACATTAACTGAATATAAAAAATAATAAAAATAGAAAGTATGTAACATAATCGTAACTTTCAAGATTAAGTGTGATATTCAAGAAAATTACTTGGAAAAATAATATAATAGTTAGGAACAATTTTTGATACATCCTACTTTTTGCTACAAACTTAAGCTAGTTGTATTATCAAAAGAACTTTAAAATACAGTGCACAAAAAAAGGAAGAAAAAGATATCACCAGGAATAACTTTAGTTTCAATGATTGGATTTTCACAAACTGTCATTCTTAATGGTTCTCAGAGATAACCTCAAATATGATAACTATTAATTAAGTTACAAAAATGAAAGAGAAATAAAAAATCATGTATAAAAATTTAAAATGTTAAAAAAGAAAACAATGAAAATAACAACCGAATACCAGCCCCAGAAGTACAAAAAAAATGCAAAACCTTTTCTATCGAGAGAGCACGCCAATTGTCTAAAATTGGCTCTCTCTGTACCCCGAAAGTTTCGTCTAATGCCAGGAAGTAAGATTCCTTTGGAATTGTAGTTTTTAACTGTTTTATACATGATTTTTGATTTCTCTTTTATTACTGTAATTTTCAATTCTGGTTTTAGTGGCATATTGTGCTTTACCTGTTTAGAAAAATGTGTATTTAAAAGATCTATTATAAGAGATTTATTGTTTAATGTTTAAAATTTTTTTAACGTCATCAGGGTTTTGTTTTTGTCTAGGATTTGAGTAAATTTATGGCTAATTGAATTTCTGCATTTTAGGTTAAATTTAATTTTATGTAAAGTGCGATTAAAAGATGCATAGCTCATGGTGCTTAAACAAGGAGCCCTGCAGTTAATCTTGACTTGGGGATTACTTAGGATAAAAAGCTACTAAGTCAAATTTTATTAAATAAATTTAAAAAATGTAAAACAGAAAAAACGTAAAACATGTCATTTAGCTGACAATTCACAAATTGATTGCCATTTTTTTTGTGAATGTTATAATATAATTTATTCAATTCAATGTAATAGTTGCAATTTACGTTATATTGGACAAACTAGTTTGGATTTCCATAAGAAAATGAATTCACACAGATTTGCTATTTAGAATTTTAATAATTCTACAGATTATGAAATTTTACATTTTCAATTTTGTGAATTTGATAGTTATTTTTAGATTAGATTTTAAAGATAAAATAGATGATAGGTTCAATTTAGAGAATATTTATATTAGCAGTCTTAAAACTCTTTTCCCGTATGGTTTAAACAGTAAATTAAATGGAGAAAATATTGATGATATTTGTATTTAAAGATGAAATTAAAGTTTTTAATTTTCCTAAATCTTTTAATTCAAAGTGGTGGAAGAGCTAATAAATTTGTTGATTTTGATGAATTTTCAAATATTTTTAGTCTTTAGGTTAACCAGAATAATATTTTTATTATTCAGAAGTATATATTAGGTTTTACAAAATTTCTTTTATAAATTTAGAAATAGAAGTTTTAATACTGAACTTATTAAATTTATTATAATAGATTTGGTTAAATCAAAACCTAGCGTTGATAAGGCAGAATTGTTTTTTAAAAATGATTTAAATGTTCAGAAAGTATTTTGCATTATTAACTTTCATGATAAAAAATTTGAGAATACTAAGATTTCACAGGTTTTTCATTATTTTTCAGGTATTTTCCCTTTAAAACAACTTTGTTGCTGCTTATAAATATCCCTCTAACCTTAGAAAATTGTTATTATAACTATTTAAAATATATTTCATTGTCTGATTGTTATTTTAATACTGGTGAGTTTTCTTCGTTTAACGATAAACTTATCATCATGTTGTTTCCGGTAATTTAGATATTCCTATCGATCAAGATTTGATTTAAATTTTTAGTAGAGGATATAAATGTAAAACAAGGTTAAAAATGAATATTTTATTTTATTAGTTAAAAGCGATTTAGATTGTTTTATTGCTAAGGTTTCTAGAATATATAATTGCCCATTGTAGGGCATTGCCCATTGTTGAAAGTATTAAAAATAAATGAAACAAATCTAAAAAAAAAAAATTTTTATCCTAGTGGTACAATTATTAATTATGTTATGTTTGAGAAAATTAAAAAAAAAAACTTAAAAATAAGTTAATTATTAGAGTTGCTAATAAAGTTTCTAACAACTTTGTATCACGTGCAAATATTTTCTAAAAAAATTGATTATTAAGGAATATAATAAAAATAATACTTATCTTAAATTAAAAGATGACAAAAAAGTTATTGACAAAATGATTATTGCTATTAATAAAAAATTAAAATTGAACAGAATTACTTATTCTTATTTATTTCCAATTGCTAAATTTCATAAAAAATACAGTAAAATTCAGATTTATAGCTTGTGGTTGCAATAGTGAGAATTCTAATATTAGTAAAAAATTCTTTAATATTCTTAAAATTAATTTGCTTAAATTTAAAAGTGAGAAAAGTATTATCAATTGTAATATTGATGTTTTGAATTTTATTGAGAAAAAAAAATGAGGTTTTTAGTATTAATACCTAGTGGTGCACAGCTTGAAAATCTTTAGACCAGTATGCCTCATGCTCCAATACTTTATATTTGTAGTTGCATTTATGATCAATATTTAAATAATAAAAATTATTGGATTAATATTTGTAAATGTAATCTTTTTGAATTTTTTTTTTTTTTAATGGCATTGATTTTTATAAACAAAAAATAGGGATACCACAAGCTAATTCTTTATCTTTTGTAATATTTTTTTTATGCTTTGAGATACATTGATATTTTAATTTTATTTAATTGTGAAAATTATGATTTAAAATTAATATTGCTAATAATCAAATTAAAATTAGTGTTTATGATAAAAGGAAGGTTTTTAATTTCAGGGTTATTTTTTTCTGTAATTTTGAAACTAATTTGCACAGTAATATTTTTCAAAATTTAGTTTTTTCTCAACTGTCTAGAATTTAGAAAATTTGCAAAAATGTTGAATATTTTCAAGCGGCTACTAGTAATTTTTCAAATAATGATTTTCCTTACAATTTTCACAATATTGAAGGCAAAATTCAAGAAATTGTTTAAATTATTAGTTTTGTTTTATTTTAATAGATCGAGACTTAACTGACTTGCCCCAGTTAAGTTTTCTACTAACAGATGGCTTTCTTGCTTTTGTTTTTTCCTTCTTTCTGAGCATTAAATGGGGTTTGTTTCGTGAATTTAAGTTTGGTTAAGGATTTTCAGATGTAGCAAGCCTTTATGTTAACAAAAGAATATTTTTAAGTAGGCTTTATGAAAATTGTTTTTTCTTTCTTAATTGATCTATGTATTATCTTTTTCTCTCCTCCTGGACTTTGGCCACAACATTTGGGGTACAGAGAGAACAAATTTTACTCATTTGTCGTGCTCTTTCGATAGAAAAGGTTTTGGATTTTATGACTTCTGGTGCCCCCTGACGTCAGCTTCGGTTGTCATTTTCATATTATTTTCATTGTTATCTTCTTTAAAATTTTCTATTGATTTACAAAAACGTATTTTCTCTAAGGTTTTGCGTTTTTATGACTTCTGGCGCCCCCTGACGTCAGCTTCAGTTGTCATTTTCAAATTATTTTCATTGTTATCTTCCCTAAAATTTTCTATTTATTTACAAAAACGTATTTTCTCCAAGAAAACATACATTTTTTTTACAGATTTGAGTTTTTGACACTTATATTATGGGTTGCTGTCTGGAAATTGTGGTCCTAATAGTTTAATCAGAAGAGCAGTTGCAATTTCCCCCCTCTTAATGTTAATTTCACTTTTTGCATTTTTGGTCATATCTTTAAAACTAATTTTACAATATTTAAAAAAAATTGCAGCCACTCATAAGACTTGTTCACCTAAAGAAATTTTCAAGCAAAAAAAGAATTTTAACAATTATTTATTATATTTTATTATTTAATTTAATAGTGGATGAAAGAAATTTTGAATTATGAGCCATAAATTGTTTTATACCATATTAATCTACATATTTTTCTATTGTGAAAGTTTGGGTTGTTTTTATTAAGATGCCAAGAGAAATTCAAATAAATTATGTTATAATTTGGTGACTATGAATAAAATAATGCCTAAATGTAGTAAACTTATAAGGGACACGAGTTTCGCAAGCCTATTGCAAATTTTATTAGCGATTTTTCATTGGATTGTTTTCTTTTTTTTTTGTAATATTAAGTTGTTTTTTTTAAATCTTCTGCTAATTTACACGCAACTTAGTAAAGAAATTTGAATCTTAATCTTTAAAAAGTGTCAAGTTTTATAAAAAGATGTTTTGTGATTGAATGTGGTTTTGCATCTGCTTTTTCTAATTTTATTTTTAATAGATTTTATCCTGCGCACAATATTTATAGCATACTAATAGATTTAGAGCAGCGTATAAGTAGTGACTCATCTAAGCAGTCAGTGAGTGCTGTTTGCAAAGTGCTTATCCAACGCTTAATAAATGTTTAAAAATGGATAATGAGGATGTTTAGCGGATAATCTCCATTCACCCAGCCGGCAGTAATGTGCATAATGACTTTCCAAGCAGCGCTGGCAGTTATTTTGCTGATGGCCAGCGCTTCTCTGGAATAACTTAACTCAAACTTAATGATAAATATAACACTGTTAATACTTAATTGAAAAACATAAAGTTAAACCATGCAAAAAATACTTCATAAGTAGTGTAAAGTCTCAAACAATTGAGTCTATATTTTGGAATTATGCTTATTTCAGAAGGATAATTTAAAACTGAAAGCATTGAATCTAATCATTTGAATATTTAATAAAACTATGTAAGACATCGGCCTTTTTTCCAAGTCATTCAGCATTGCATACTCAAAGAGTCATTTTCCTCAATTAAGATAGAGTTCTAATATTTCTGGTAGCTATGAGAAAGTGAAATGAAACCAGCCAATAAATATAAAATAATTTAAATGCAAGATAACTAAAAAAAAGAAAAGAATAATGATTATTAATAAATAATGATATTGATGGATAAACTCACCAGATGGTATAAGAAATGACAAAAACATCATGGCCAAAGCAACTAGCAATACAAGAGGAAGCTATAAGGAGATAAATGAAAGATTTTTCTTCAAAGAGCACACTTTTTTAGTAAAACACCTCAAAGATACAATAATATATCGGATAAATAAAAATCTTTATTAAAATAAAAAAGAGGATATAATACACCATCGGGCCAAAAAGTATGCCCAGTGGTACATAGATGCCAGCATGGATCCAGTAGATTTTACGAAATAATATTAATTTCATGTTGCATAATGTGTACTAAATATTTTACCCATAGGGATTTTTAGAGTCATCAAAATAACTGCTTACGATTGACATACTTGAAACGTTCCCCCATCAGTTCAAATAGTAATAGGCATTTAATTCATGAAAGATAGTTAAAAGAATTTTTTCATTCATTTAAAAAGAGAGTTCTGAATAGAACAAACTGAACATTTTAGAACAAAAAATGTTTCGAACTTATTTCTATAAATGAGGTTTGCTTCATTATGTATTGGCAGGGGTCTGTTTAGAAGAAATTTGGGTCCGCTATCTTTCTTTCTTTGCATAAAAACGGACCCTTCACAAAATAATTTATCTTTTAATCGGACCCCTCAAAAATTTATTTATCTTCATTAAATGTTTTGTTAATCAAATAAACCTTTCCCAGGAAGGGGGGAGACAGATGTAAACGAACTAAATTTTTTCTTCGGCAGGCGCTTCTTCCTTTATTCGTGTGAAATGAAAATTCTGCATTCAACAGTATAGGCTAAATACCAAATATTTAAATGTTGCATCTCTAATTTAGTAGCAGCAATTGCTGTTTATTTTTTAAAATGTAATTTTTTTTAATCATAATTTTACAGTGTTGAGCATAACCTTGTATGTCTTTACAATTTAAACACTCCTTGAAAAAGTTTCGTTGCAATAACAGGACCCTATTTGCACAAATTTACAAAAGCAGGACCCTGGTTGAAAGAATGTGATTTAATGTTTTTTTTATATTCACTAATTGCGAGTCATTTTTTTTTACAAAAACAGACCTTTCAGGAAATGTCTGGACAGACCCCTGATTAGTAATATTATTCAAGTAATAATCTGTACAAAAAATTTTATTTCAATAGGGATTTTTTTAAGAGAATTTTCTAAAATGTAAAAAAACGAGGAGAATTTTAATGAAACCAGTAGAGCAGGAGAAACTAGCAAAATCCAGTAGAGTTGACAGCTGTGTTTAATAGGATGTCCTTCCCCCTTTCACTGCATTGATGACACCACCCGTTTTTGATAGGACTTCCATCACAGCTGAAGTGGCTACGTCATCTGCATTCGTCCTAAAGGCGAAGCTTTACGGGGCTCTGAGAAGACAGTTTTTGAACACCCATTTCGTCAAACTGCCTCGATGTGTGAATGGAAGAGAAATGGGCTCAAAATATTGCCATAAAAGTGCAGCCACATACACATCTCAGAATTTAAACTACAGGAACTCCCCACACCACAACCGCTTCCCTGATCAACAAGAGTTAACTCGGGTATGTATATATAATGCAAATACTTACTATACCGAGCAAACTCTGGCATGGCAGAATGCGTCAATACGTTTTGTTCTATCACGTTTCTATTCGACCAGAAGCAAAACAAAAAAATAATGAATATCTGCTGTGATTGGAAGTTTGCCAATTTTTGTTTGGGAGTTCTGCTATTTGTGGGACTGGAGACGTGTTTTGTACAATTGTAATGTAGAATACAAGGATGGATTTACATGGGAAAAAAAAAGAATTTAAAAAAAAATGGCATTTGTGAATGAAAGAAAAAGTAATGCAGATCATGAAGATGTGAACACATACAAAGACTCATATTTAACTTCTTTCATTGGCCCCGAGATCATTTGGGATAGTAAACGGATGGAAAATTAAATATTTTTTGCACATAAAAAAAAATTAAAATGTCCACTTAGAACTTGCGTATTATGTTTCGTTTTAGTTCCTTGTATTTATTAATAAAATGAAAAAAAATATGTTGATTTGTTGGCATTTTTTTCTTTGAACTCTTTAGTGTTTTTGACGATTTCATTTAAACATTGCATCCTAGAAAAATAGTGGAGTTATTGAATGGAAAAATTGAGCTAAGGTTGTCATTTTCCACGTACATTGCGTGTAAACAACTATATCTCTTTAAAAAAAAAAATAGCCTTTTGATGTTAGAATGAGTATTTANATGTAGAATACAAGGATGGATTTACATGGGAAAAAAAAAGAATTTAAAAAAAAATGGCATTTGTGAATGAAAGAAAAAGTAATGCAGATCATGAAGATGTGAACACATACAAAGACTCATATTTAACTTCTTTTATTGGCCCCGAGATCATTTGGGATAGTAAACGGATGGAAAATTAAATATTTTTTGCACATAAAAAAAAAATTCAAATGTCCACTTAGAACTTGCGTATTATGTTTTGTTTTAGTTCCTTGTATTTATTAATAAAATGAAAAAAAATGTTGATTTGATTGCATTTTTTTCTTTGAACTCTTTAGTGTTTTTGACGATTTAATTTAAACATTGCATCCTAGAAAAATAGTGGAGTTATTGAATGGAAAAATTGAGCTTAAGATGACATTTTCCATGCACATTGCGTGTAAACAACTACATCTCTTTAAAAAAAAATAGCCTTTTAATGTTAGAATGAGTATTTAGAAGATGATCAGATAAACAAAGTTTTAAGTTTCTTCTCTAATAATTCAATAAAATAAAGATAATAAGTAAAATACAGTACAGAACCCGCTATCCGGAAATCAGAAAACCAAAAAAGCTGAACAAAATTCGATAAATTTTCTCGCCATTTTTTTAAAAAAACTTTTTTTTTCCTCATAAGATTTTAGGATTTTTCTTTCCTTTTTGAAAGATGTTTACCTTACCATCATTTTGGAAATAATCATTAGTGTATTACTTCATTGTTTTTTCTTCTTTTTAGGATTATTTCCAAAATTTTTTTTTGTTGTTGTTGTTGGGTTTAACAATAAAAAAAAAAACGGTTTTTTGTAGCGATTCAGAAAACCGGAAAAATGAGTTATCCGGAATAGCGATGGTCCCGATTGTTCCGGATAATCGGTTCCCTACTGTATATATTGAAATAAATATACTAGCTGCAGATCCCTTTTTTGTAGGTAGCGCTCAGAAATATTGACATTGTAATTTGTAAGAACATTGTAACATTAATAAAAAAAAAATTACATTTCATATGATTGGAGGAAATATAACGCCCTGTGGCAGAATTTTTTCGAGCTATCTGCGGCAAAACTCTCAAGTACTAATATCTTTCTGCAAGATACGTTTAATTATAACAAAAATATATTTTATACTCTAAAGCAATAAATTAATAAAGTAACAAAATAAGATAAAAAATAAGGTAACATATACGAACTGCAGAAAATTTAATGTCTTTTTTATCTTTCAGTGGGCAAGGTTTAGAAACGCCTTCATCTTCATCAACTTGGTAATTTCCAAGAAAAAGATCAATTGAATCCTGAAAAAAATTAATAAAATTTAGAAACACACTTTTGAAAAGGGAAGAACATAAATTGAATAGAAGACTTTAAAATAGATATCCAATTAAAATTTTTAAAATGATACACAACAATCATTTACAGTGTATCTGGTACATTTAAGATTTTCAAATTCATGACCTTGCATGACTCATTCCAAGTCTTTTCATGACTTTATTATTGTCTCCCACATAAACACAACAATACATTTAAAAAAGCTTTATAACAACATTCATTGAAATGATAGGTATAACTGTTATATTCTGCATCTTCATATTTATAGATTTTAAATTTAAAAAACAGAGTAAAGAAAGAGATGAAGCAATTAAATAGCTGAAAAAATAACAAAAGTCAATAATTTTATTATTTTTTTTAGCATAATTACATTCTAATGATACTTTTCTCGTTCATCGGGGAAATGAAAGAAATACTCCTGATTTTTTTTTCTCATGTAGGAATTTAAAAAAAATTTGCCAATGACTGGCTTGCTTCAGCTAGAATTTTAAAATGATAAAATAAAATAAATAATAAATAAATAAAAAAAAATCTGAAATCACAGAAGTTTAAAAGATCTCTAGAAATGATGATTTTTCTTTCATTTTTTGAAAGAACATAAGTTTTAAAGAACATGATAAAAATATTTTATATTTTAATAAAATATGACTGTGAGTGGGGATTTTGTTACAAATTCAGATATTTGGAACACCATGAAAGTTTTTTTTTGTGTGTGTGTGTGGGGGGGGGGTGTAAATTCCATTTTAAAAATTAGATTTTTCGGCAACCTAAATCCATGACTTTCCATGATTTCTTATGACTATCCAGGTGTGCCGATACCCTGCATTTAGTAGAAGTTTAATTATACAAAATTTTTGTGTACTGGATCATAGCGGTGTACCTTCATGTACAAGATTATTGTGTAACCATCACACATTGGAATGTTACTTGTAAAAAATATTGAGTGCTTTAAATAGAAGTAATGCGTAAAAAGTTTTGATTTGAAAAAATAACAAGAAGTACAAGTACAAAACAAAAAAAGTAACAATTTTAGCATGAAAATTTAAAATTCAAAGTAATCTTAAATTTCAGAAAAAAAGGGAAAAAAATGTAAGAAAAAAAATAAAATTTAATTGAATTAAATTTTAATATTACTATTATAATATTAATAATTTAATTTATAAGTATAAAATTTAAAATGCGGGAAAATACAAAATTCATTGCAATAGGGAAAGTTGAAAATATCCAGAAACAAAAAAGAAATCACAATTCAATGCTTGCATATAAAACACAGTCTTGATATAATGATGCTTTTGAAGTTTGGACAATGACAAAACTGGATTAAAATTGTATCGTAATGTTTGAGAGAAAGATTTTGCAGAGTATGGTATAAATGGAAATAATAAAACAGGAGAAGAAAATTTAACTTTGAACTGCAGAAGATTTATAAGCAACCCGATATTATTAAATAAATAAAATAATTAGAATGAATTGGATGGCGCACATGATTCGAAAGAGTGCAGACAATACAATAAAAAGGTATTGCTTTTTAGATCCATTGGAACAAGAAAGCGGGGAATGCCGCATTTGAGATGGGTTGACTCAGTGGCATGTTTTTTTTTTTAAATTAATGAAAAGAATTGGAGATCAACGATAAATTGATAGTCATTGTGGAGAAATCTTCACAGGAAGGCATTGGCCCACATTTGACTGTTTTTCCAACTATAATGATGATGATACATATAAAGCGTAGTTTTAAATTATGTTGTTATTTTAAAATTATTAACTCTCTGGAAATTTTGTTTATTTACTTTCAGAATTTGTAGTATTGAATTAAATTCAATAACATTATTTTAAAGAAATAAGTAAAAAATTTCATTTATATATATAGGTAACCCCTTGTTTTGCTTAAAAATTATCTTTCGTTTTTACAAAAGTTAAGTAAAATCACTTTTGTATATTAACAAATGACACATTTTTAATTTGTTGTTAATTTGTTGCTAAATGAATGGCTAAATGGAATGGAAGGAGAAAAAATTATTTTTATTTAAAATCAAAGAAACAATAAAACACTAGAATTTTTTTTTAATGCAAACTAATTTTTATTTTTGGGCAAGAAATTTATGTTTCACTAACATTAAATTAATTACTGAAATTATTTAGAAATACGCACCCATGGTTGTCAAAAATATTGCTAGTCAATATTTTTGGATTTATTTTATATTGGGAACATTTTTTCCAAAATGTAAATAATTAGTATCGCTGTATATTCTCAATGGACAAAATTTTATTTTCTTAATGATTTTGTTGATCCCTTAATGAAAAAAATTTATATTTTTTTACTTTAAAAAAATATACTAAAAATATGTCTTTTTTTGGAATTGTCCTAAGTAAACCTAGTAGAAAAAATAAAATTTTATTGTCTAATTGCATAGCTAATAATTTCTATTCAAAACTGTAAAATTTGATTGAAATTGAAAGTCTATTTAAAATGTTTTATACTTTTGAATATATTATTCATAATATATCAAATATATCGCTCATGGGCTACAATAGTGGCACAACTCAAAAAACCTGAGTTTTGGACTAAGAACAAATGTAAATACACATTCTTTCCGAAGCAATACTAGCACAACTCATATTTCAACTTCATTTAAGCAAACTAAAGTATTTCTTATGCATTTTGCTTATAGCAATAAAACCTTTAAACCCACTTATCTCAAAACTTGATTTTTTGAGTTATGCTGCTCTTGCAGCCCGTGAGCGATATTGAGCTGATTAGAGAAATAAAATAACAGATTTTACTAATGACATTTTTAAGGCAACGAGTAAAGTTTTGATACATCATGCACAATCATGTAAGTCAAAAAGAGAAATTCAAAATTGGAAATAATATAAGCACTTATATTTAGGGAAGTAAAAAATATGTATATAAATCTTACTCTAAAGAAAATATTTTTAAACCATTATTTATAATTACTTAACTAATAACACTCAATATACTGCAGTACTGACAATAACAAGAAGTATTTTTGTTGCTAATATTTTTTAAAAATTTCTTTAATAAATACGGAGAAATTTGAGAATATACAGGTAAACAGGAGATAGTCGTAAAGTACAGCAGTTTTCGTTAAAAAAAAAACCAGGAGACTTGGTAGACATGAGATAGCAAAGCCTATTTTTTCATTAATAAAATCTAAATAATGTTCACCCATTGCACTTTGTCTGTGACTCGTATAACAATAATTTAAAAACATTTGTGTTCTTTATGCCACACTGTCAAATAAACAGGTGAATGGCTTTCATTTTAGCCTATAAATAATCAATACAAAATAGTAGGAAAATGTTAAATTAACAGTTATTTTGCAACTTGGCATTTTCAATGATGATCAGAAACTCCTTAAACATTAGACTAATATGTACTAGTTTTAAAAAATATTTAAATTTTTGAAGTGAATATTTACACAGTTTTCCTTACAGAAGGGTAAACGATGTGAAAAGGGTAAGCAATGAAAATACTATAAATCAATAATTTATAATTTTTCACCTAAAGAATAAAAATTCAAAAAAGAAAAGAAAAAAAAACAATTTCCAAGAAAATTTTTGGAAAAAAAAAGAAGGTAATTATTCTTTTTTGACATTCTCAATCCAAATACTTGTACTTTTACTGGAAATAGTAACCGCAGAACAAGTAAAAGTACATACTTGTAAATAACGAGAGTAAAAATATTACCAGGTATGGTTAACATAGAGGAAATTCTTTATAGAAAAATGTCAGTGTTCTAGTTTTCAAACAGTTAAGTCGACCATAATTATGATAGCTCTGTAAATTACACAAAAGACTAAATTTTATCTGAAACTTTTTAAATTTGTTTTCAAGAAAAAAATAAACATGAGAATTTACTGAATAAATTAAAGAAATTATTATGAATAACTACTTGCAGAATTCATAAAAAATAATTCTGCGGAAAAGGTCAAAATGGGAATTAACCACTAAAGAACTTCCACAGATATCTTCTTCCTTTGTATACATTTAATTTTTTCCATTAAATGTTTTCTATAGAATATCAATACTAAACATTTTTAAATGTTTTTTTTTTCATAATTTTTTAAAATACTTGCGATCTTCAATTTTTGGTTCAGTTAAACACATTTCAATGAATGAATAACATACAATGTGTGGGTTAATATGAAAGAATTCCTTTGGCCAAAAGGGAACCCTTAAACATACGAAGCAATTTCTTTAAGAATCTTGGGTAGCACTTTGATTCCAAAATAAAATATAATAATTAATTGTCTTAATTATAATAAATACTAATTATTTATCTATTAATAATTAGGAGTAAATACATAATAAGTATTGTTAATTAGTTTATTATAATAAAATATTTTAATGTATTATACAGTGATTTTAGGTTGGCACTTTTGTACAATTTTCTGCGGGTCCCTGAAAATTGACTTTAAATTATTACCTTTTTTAAAAAAATTCCGGTTCTCTAACTGATTGTACTTTCTTAACAACTTTTTGCTCCTTTAAAAAAGATTTATTTAATAGTTGTTTGATCTTTGAGAGGGGATTGACAGGAAGGGTGGTTAAAGGAGTATAAATTGTAAAATTTTCGAGTGGAATTTTTTCTATCAAAGTTTAGTCATTAAATCAATCTTGGAAAAGAATCCATTTATTTACAAATTAAAAAATTGGTTAGATAATCATTTTTTCTTTTTGGTGACCTTCAAGATGCTTTTAAAGCAAAACTAAATGATTGGGAAGCTCTGAATCTGATTTCGGCAGCGTTGGACTGTTTCGACTAAAAAGCATTTTACAAATAAGCTTGGTAAAGCAAGTTCCCGAAAGGACTATCGGCCCTTCCCTTCGGAATAAACTTGCTTGGCTGCAGATCTTTTAAAATTGATGGCCCGTATGTCGACGCACATCCCATTACTTTGAGATTCCTTTAATATCTGGTTTAATGCCTGCTCTCTATGTGCTCACAATGGACTGAAAGTTCCAAAGCATAAAAATTCTGAAACAATATTTATTTGCTACAGTAAACCAAAAAGCAAATTTGCAAACAATAGTAAGCATTATTTTGGATATTGTTGAAATAGTATCTAAAAACGAAAAACAAGTAAATATTAGACATTTTTTTACTGGTTCATCTCATAAGTGATCATTTTTCAAAAATACGCTTTTATTTTTTCCTCTCAATTTTACATTTTCCTGTTTAATGCGTTTTTAAACAATAGTTTGCGTAAAACCTAAAGTCAGGGTTTGATTTTAATAAAATATATAAATAATTAGTAACCTCTTTTTTAATGTAGGAAAGTCACTTTTAAACCAATAAGAGAACAAATGAAATGAGAAAAACTTTATTTTTAATATATATTCCGTTTGATCATACATTGTTAAGCATAGATTAGCCGCAACCTATCTTCATGGAAAATGAAAATTGTAAAAAGCTATGGATAAATTTAATTGGTTAAGACATACCTGGCGGAAACCATCAGAAAAGTTGTTCTTATAGTAACGGATCAAAGAATTGATGCCATCTCTAATCAAACCTTGTTTACTTCGCTTTCCAGTTCTGTAACAAAAATATGCATAGAAAAGATGTTTACATATCATTTGACACTTCATACAATGCTGTTTATGTTAGTATTTAGAAAGAAATTATTCTCTCTATGTGCTTCTAGAAAGGTGTTTTAAATAGTTTAGCATTGCAAAAAAACGAGTGGAAAAAAAGATGTAAATTAAATATTTAAAAATGCTTGAAGATAATCCTCGTTTTTCATACGTGAAATGTTCAAATAAATGCAATGCTATTAACGAGGGCTTTATCGGGGACACCTCTAGCTTTTATTTTTGGGAGGGAATTATTCCGAAAAATTAGCATTTTTCCAAACGATATTTTCTTATTTTCCCTTCAGTGGTGACAGTAATTATCGACAATGTCATCTATGAAAAGGTACCCCACCATAGAATCGAGTTAACGTGTCTTATATATACTAGTGAATTGGAATTATACTTTTGTACACACTACAGTACTCCCCCACCAGTATTATACCTGTGATAGAATTCGATGAACGGATACCACTAGTTGATTCATTGCTGCTGTTATTGTGAGATGCCGGGAGAGATGCATTAAGATCAACATACTTTTTAAGCTGTGTGGCTGTATTAAGTTCATGGCCGTGGACGCTCCTGTGTTGCCTATAGCAGTCGAGTGTATATGTTGTGTGTGATCAAGACTGAGATACAACAATGTTGCAGTCACAAGTAGCAAGACAACTGTTCAATGTGGACCGTCCATCGAAGTAGAAGTGTTCAAATCGGAGTGGGCGTTTCTGCTAAGGTAGTCGGGTTTACATCCTGTCCGAAGATCTTAAGTATGGGGAGAGAAGTTACAGACAATGTCAACCTTCATCTATGGGAAGGTACCCCTCCATAGAATTGAGTTAAAATGTCTTATATAGAAGAGAATTGGAATTATATTTTTGTAGTGGTACACATTCATTTATGTTCAGATTTTGCAATGCTATTTTTTGATTTCAAAAAATAGAAATCCTTACTAAACTGAGGGATCATAAATAAAAATAAGAATTTCAATGATGAACAAATGAACAATCAATTGCAGCTTATTAAAGCATAAGACCAACAAATGCTCCAAATTTAAACATTTTAAAAATAAATACTCTAAATATATTTTGATCTAAAGAATTTTTCTTACCCTAAATTTAATTTTAATTACAAATATAAAACTTTCCAAGTTTATTATTTTTCAAAATTTTTTTGCTCCATTTATTGCCTTGCACAAAAATGAAATGAAATAAAATTAGCAATATGCAAATCACAAACTCCATATGTACTTCTTTAGTATTTGAATTGCCATACATTAATTATTTTGTTGACTTGTGCAAGCATTTTGTTTTCATAAAAAGATGCATTTCATTGAGGCTGGAGGAAATTAAACACTAATAAATTGCTGTTACGAATTTTGCCTGCTACGCATTGTGCTTGCAAAGAATTGCCACAGCAATGAATCCCCCTCCCCCCAACAAATTGTCTTTGTGAGAAGTTGTGCCATTGTGATGATTTGCACTTGCAATTATTTATCTCACAGCAAATTGTGCATTACAAATTGTAGCCATGATGAAATGGCGCAGAACCATTCAAATAAATCTACAAACAAATGACTTGAGCCACGATGGCTCTCGTCACCTTCCAATGAGGTGAAGAGGGTTCGAATCCCAGAGATGGCTGGTTGCTACGAATTCTGCATCTGGCTTAGAGTCCCCCTGCCACCAAGTGAGGGTGGCTTCCCACCCCATGTAATGGTAAATACGGGTTAGTTTCCTCAAAAATTCCTCCACAAAAGCAAATTTTCCCTTTGTCTTCTGGACTGGGTTCAAAATGACAAGGTTATGAAGTTTAGCACTAGTAGTCATAAATCCAAAAATAAGGTCAGCTGTTCAATGACGGTTATAAAAATAAAATAAAATGAATGATGTGATAAAAAAGGCAACATAAAGAAACATCTTAACAATCTTTTGGACACTAAGACCATGAGTAACATTTATACATAAAAAAAGTGTAATAAATAACAAGATTTTAACTATATGCTAGCTTCCAGTAATTTTTTAAGTTTTGCATGAAAAGTATTCTGGCTTTTTATTACATGCATTATCCAATAAAATGGAAAGTGTATAATTTTCTTTCTATCTAATAAAGAATCAAATTAAAAAAAATTTACTTGCAATAACTTGACAGGGAATAAATTTAATAGAACATAAAATTAATTTAAATATTTTTCCTTTCAACACATTGCTCTTAAAGACAGAAAATAAATTAGAAATGCATACACATTTACCTGGTAAAATCAGTTTTCAAAGCACCAGTGCCTGCATATTCTATACTAACTACATCAGCATTGTCAGCCCAAGCTGCAATACAAAACAATATTTCATTGCAGTAAATTTGATGAATTAATTTACAATAAAGAATATAAGTATTAAGTACAGAACTGTGAATTATCTTATTACTGGACTACCTAAAGAATTGTAAAAAATCTCCCTGAAAGAGTGTTTTAATAAAACGAAATTCAGTTAGTGTTGCAGGATTTTAATGCAGTTTTATTATGAATAAATGCAGGGTTACCACTCAAATCTGAAAAAAAAAATATTCCCTGTGTTTTCCCTGTACATATTATACACAATATATTGAGAGGAAACACAACAATTACTGTGCTCTTGTGTGAGCTATATTGGGCTAACTATATTTATTAGTTTTAATTGCTGGAAAATCAGCTGAACATACTTAAATAATGCTATAGTAAATGAAATAGTTTAGTATAGCTCAAATATCATGGTTAAATATCCCATAGATTACACTTGGTGCGTCAACATTATTCAAAAGACAAAAATAAGAAACAAAATTCCCTGCATTTTTCCAGATCATAAGGAAAAGAAAAAGAAAATCAAAATTCCCTGTTATTTTAGGTGATTTTTAAATTCCTTGTGGGCCTGTAATTGTTTAGGGATTTAAAAAGACTAATTCTTAAAAATTACACCAATAGCTATGGTTTGGATTGTAGGATATATGAAATATGCTTCATTAACAAAGACCATGAATAATTAAGAAGATAGAAAATCAGCTTACAAATCATAAAAACAAGGAATTTGAATAGAGAGTGTCATGAAAAAAAAAAAGCAGTCCTGTTAAACTTTTTTAAAGATAATACGGAAAAATCATTTATTTTATATAAAACTTACTTGATTGTAAAATGAACTCATATTTTCAATATCAAAATCTGACTTCAATTTCAAAAATAAAATATCAAATAATTACATATTAAAATGTTAAATGGCAAAATAATTTTCTAAATCAATAAAAGGGATATTACCATTTTTATAAGTGTATTCAAATAGTGCTTGGTTTTCTACCTTTTCATCTTTATTCAAAACACCCAGTCTCTGTGAGAAAAAACATTTACGAAAATATTTTTACTAAGCATTCAAATTTTTGAAAACAATCACAATATAATTTATCACAACAAATAATAAAGCTCAGGGGACTTTACTCACAAAAAATGAAACTTAATGATTATATTCAGCTGATTAAATTGATTATCAAATTAATTCTCAATTCTGAAAAAATGATTAAATTCAGCTGAACTATGTTCCTACTTTATTATAGAATAAAAAATAGCCATATTTTAATTGTTTACATATTTCCACTTCACTTTTTTTAAGTTAAGTATAGGGATATATTTTTCCTTTTCATATTCCGTTCACTGATAAGCGCAAGAAATGCATTACCTCCCCGCAAATCAAAACTAAATCTTTTACGTTTGATTGAGAGCAGCATATCAAAAAAAATTATTCCTTCAGACACACGAGAGAAAATAAAACATTTGTCCCTTTCCTGCCCCCCTATGGATCTAAAGATCAAAGTCACGGAAGAAATATTGAAGTATACTCTGGACAAACGGGGAGGAAAATTCTCTCTCGCCCCACATTATCTTCAACTCAACTTCAAGGATGAGTCAAATTTCCACTCTTTTTTCAGCATTATCGTTGCATTTCAGTCACCTGTCGCAACCATGCACACCATCATGCAAGTTATCACTTTTCAGCATCAGACATTTTTTTCTTATAATCAAAGAATGAAACTAATTTATAAATTCAGAGAAAGACAAAAATAAGTAAGTAACATTAAAACAATAAATCAAAATAGAAAAGCGCTTATAGCAGCTAAAACCAAATTTGTTTTATTTTAATTTAGTAAATCTGAAATACAATAGCATAAAACAAAAAATTTAAGATAAGCGTGTTCAAAAGGACAGCACTTCATCAGGAGACACACTGTCTCCCAACACACAGGAGCCTTTCTGTTGTCAGTGGTGAAACCCCAAAAACTGACAGTGCCCCATTATGGAAAAACAAATAAGAAAAATTGAAATGTAAATGCAAAGAAAAATTAATGACGAACAATCACAATTTAAAAGTAGACAGAGTAAGACTCAATGATGATATGCCCACATATAAGAAAAATAAATAAAGATCATGTCACAGTTAAAATAACCAAATCAAAATAAAATATAAATTGTCAAATCCTTAAGAAAACTTTAGAAATAAATCTAGTGCTGACCCCTTTTTGAAAATCTTGAAAAAAACAAAAAACATTCAATGGGTAAAAATTCTAAAAAAATACTGCCATCAGAAATACATCTAGTTTGTATTTCTGACTTACTAAATTCTTTCTTATAGTTCACATCATAACAGGGTTCCCACTCAATATTTAAAAAGAAAATCAAGGACTTTTCAATGACTTTCAAGGACCTAAAATCAAATTTTCAAGGACTTATTTGGTATTACAGTTATATGCTAAAATACATGTCAACTAAATTTTACAATTATGTAGAAGCAGAAATTGTATATTTTTAAAGCACAATGCTAATTTGACAACAAATTTTTTTTAAATTAAATTTATCAGCTAGAAATACAAATCGTTGATAGTTGCATTGCTGTTTCAAATCACTTTATAAAAAATTTCAATTGACAAAAAAAGAAGAAAAAATCTAATTGACATATGAACGATACTAGCCAACATTTAAAAACTAGCATCAGTGAAACTCTTTATGAAAAATTTAATGAAGTGAATTAGAATTAATGAAACTAAATTAACGAATATTGCATATTACGTTAAACAAGCATAGTAAATAAATGATAAAATTTGTGAGTGTGTGGTTACTAAAATATAAATACTTTTTTTTAATATGTTAAATCAAATTTTAGGTTACAGGAAATGTATATAATTAGATAAAATATCCAAATATATCCATTTAACATATCTGTTCCAATTTTAATAAAAAATTATCTATTTTGTTACTTCAGAATATCAGAAATGTGTTTTGAACATGATAAAACTATTATAGTTAACTAACTAAGACTTACCAAGCTTTATTTTCTTTAAAATATATTCATAAAATAATATGCATAATTTTAAAAATTTTGTGAGTATGTGATATTATGCGATATATTATATATTTTAAGCGATTATTTGAATTTCATATGTCATATTTCGTGAATATGTATAATTTTTAAATCGCATTTATATGAATCTATATATACTATATGTCAATCAAAATTATAAGAAAGGTGAAGTAAGTCTCGAAGATTGAGTATATTACGTATCACGATGTGTGCTTTGTATGTTTCTTAAATCAGAACAATATGAATAGCAAATTATACAAAAAGCACAAACTTAGAAGACGTAAATCACCGTGATACATAAATCACTTTAATGTGAATTCTGTTGTGTGATTAGTTATTACTTTTAATGTGAATGGTGATTATTATGATGCAAATTGCAATTTGTGATTCGAAAGGTGTTTAATATAGAACAGCTATGTGTAATTCTGAAATCATTTTGATGAGAATCGAGAGTGGTAATTCTTGAATCTCTCTTTTCTGAATTCCAATGCGTGATTTGTAAACTACTAGAATAAGAATTGTTAGGCATGATTCTGAAATTACTTAAATACGTATCACGTTATATGAGTCACGTTATATGAATTGTAATCATGTGTGATTGATAAATCACTTTTATTTGAATCACAATGTGTGATTCATAAAATACCTTAATACAAATCCTGATGAGTAATTTGTAAATCACTTTCATTTAAATTGCAATTCGTAGAACATTTTATATGAATTCCAATCCAAAAATCAAGAATCAGCTTATTGTGAATCACAATGTTTATTCATAATCACTGAAACCTGTAGAACTAAATTTTATTTATTAGCAGTAAAAACTAAATATAAAAATGTGATTATAAATGATAAAAAATTAATTATCTTTCGTACGTAAATTAAAAGAACAAATAGGATAACAATATTAACCTGTCGTAATAATGAAGTTAACACACTGAACATATTTTTAAATCGTTAAAACACTATATATCATTTGAAAACTATGACTACAAAACCTAAAATTTACTAGAAATTTCAGCTTTTAAAACATCAGAGAGATGAACAATAATCTGGTGTGAAAAATCGAGGAGAGAAACTTCAAGCATTAAAAATAGCATCTATTAGAATTTATATAATCTTCCTTTGAATTTACTTATTATTTTTATACTGCTTTTTTGTAATAAAGATTAGTACTATCTTAAATCCTAAAAAATCAAGAACTTTTCAAGTACCCTAAGGAAGAATTCAAGGACTTTCCAGGGCCCCGATTTTTTTCCAACTAAATTCAAGGTTTTTCAAGAACCGTGGGAAGCCTGTAATGTAAAGAATTCAATACCTGAAGTTGTGACTGAAGTGATTCACGAGCTAACAGACTCTGAACAACATTTGTTCGGTCCAAACAGTCAACGCAATTGGTCCTAAAGACACCGTCTTGTTGGCAAGGAACGGAACCATCACGCAACATCATGAAATACCTACAATATTATTCAATTATTGGAAAATAGTTTTTTTTCTCTCTTTAAATACATAAATGTTTCTTAAAAAATAGGAAGACTATAGATAAAGCAACTGTGACCCTCCGCTACATTTTGAATATAATTATAACTTTTTATTTATTGCAAATCTTTTTCATTCTTAGCAATAACACATTTTTAACAGAAGATAACAATTAGTATTATAGAAAACTAATTGTCTCGAGTAACTATTTTTTTTTTATTATATAGAATAAATTCCTCGTATGATAAATAAGTGGGAGTTTTAAAATTTGTACATCAATTTGATTATGAATTGTCATTTCTAAATATAATTGAAAAAAAACAATGCTTATCTTATTATTGTCTTAATGTTTATCTTATTATCTACTTATTATTAGTTTTATAATAAGTAGTCTACTTAATTATTAGTTTTTTATTTTTTTTTAATATGAAATAAAATACCCAATTACAACAAAACATAGATTTTAGCTTGAAAATGAAAGTAAGACATAAAATTAGAAATTTGACTAAATACATAAAACTTTTAATAATTGGCAGTTTCAGTCTTGTATTGATAATGTCTCGATCCCTGTGGCAGAATTTTTTCGGGCTTTCTGCGACAAACTTCCCCGGCATTCATATTTTTTAAAGATACTTTTAATTATAACAATTACAAATTTGAAGTAATGTTGTGTTCACAGAAGAAAGTATAGAACAAAACAAATAAAAAAATTTAATTTTACAAGTAATATTATTTAAATTCTAATATTATCGCTATTCTAATATAGGGGGGTAATGCCTGGCGCCTCCACATGGCGCCCCCTGGATACCCCTCACTGGGTAACTAAATGGCAGGCAACCAACATGACGAGCAAAAGAAAAGCTTTGGTTACGGCATCATCCGTCGCGCCAGGTAACAAGGGATGAGTTCAGGAATTAGGCAGAGGTTCATGTTCGAAAAATTCTTTACAGTTTCCAGTAGCACGTGGTCAGCCCTCGGGTAAGCCTAGTGCTGCTTTGCTGTCTACTTCAAAAGCTGGTGAGGCATCCAAAGGCGCAGGCCCTTCCTCTGTAGGAATCTCTGTACCCTAGAGGCACTCGGGGGACAGTGTGTCTGGTGCCACTGGATTGTCCAAGAGCCGGAGAAAGAAGTTAAGGAAAATGAGGGCCATGGCGGCGAGTGGCGGAGCTAAGAGACCTAGATCTTCTGAAGCAACACCCTCTCCCAATGTGCCAAGCTAAAAAGAAAAGAAGCCCAGGGAGGATGTTGTTCCTGGGAGGATAGTCCAATCCAGCGGAGTGGTTCTCCCTAGTGGGGATAGCTGAGCTGGAGAGGGGGATCCAACTGGGGGCGTCCAATCGTGTGTCTCTTTTGCGTGTGCCACCAAGTCGACCAAGATTGCTATAGTCCTGGAGGACTTTCCTCCGGACAAGCTATCTTTGGAAGACTCCAATAACATCTTTAAGGAGATCTTAGTGCAGACTGACGCCATTCCTTGTGGCGAAAGACTGCCTGAGATCTATAGTAACCACCTCCAAAGAGGAGTATTGGTATTACAGTGCAACGAGTTCACTGTAGGGTGGATCAAATGCCACTTTCACGGCAAAGCCTTGGGCAACCTCATGCTCAAAGTCATAAGTGCTGACGAGCTACCAAGGCCTGTTAAGGTAGCTTTTAAGACCAGAGAGCGATTCTCTGATCAGGGCACCTTTTTGTGACGTCTTCAGAGACTAAACCCAGGGTTGAAGTCTATGGGGTGGAGGGTTCTGCAAAGTGCTGCGGGACTGGGCACCTCTAGATGGATCTTTGAGGTGGAGCCTGAAGATGCGGAAGCTATTGTGAGAGCAAATTTTGTGCACTCACTGGAGTGGATCGTGGTGTCCTCAAGATTATCCACGATCCTAACAGGAAAAAAGCAGTTGAGGCTTCAACAACATTGAATGTCCTCTCTGTTGAACCTGATGACCAGGAGGATGAACCTTGGAACGCTAACTCCCCTGACTCCAAGGTAAGTTCAATTGGGACTCTTGATTTTTCAGAGCTAGGGTTGGACTTCGAGTCAGACGTAACCTTGTGACCTGACTCACCAACTTCTATGCTTGGTGTTGACGAAGCATTAGAGCTGTTAAAAGAATATGTCTTCTAATAATAACCAGATTAGGTAGGTGCCATTCTGGTTTTACTCATACTACTAACCAATTGTGGATACAATTAAGGTTGGTCAAATTAATCTCCATCATAGCATTGCTGCCTCTAGCCTTATGGCTAAAAGGTTAAATGATGGAGAACTAGATATTGCTCTTATACAAGAGCCTTGGAACCGAAAAGGTAGAATAATGGGTCTCAATGTTAAAGGTTTTAATATCTTTTATGATACCCGTTGTGACCTTCCCAGGACCTGCATAGTGGCTAGGTCAAATCTAAATGCCCTTAATCTTGTTAACTTTCTTAACACGGATTTAGTTGCTGTAAAGCTAAAATTCTATGACATTGAGACTATCTCTGACTTTATCATAGTTTCAGCCTATCTCCCGTATGAGGAGAAGGACCCCATTAGCTGATATTACTAGGGCTTTAATTGGCCACTGTAGTTCAAGCTGTAGATTCATCTTCGGTTGTGATGCAAATGCTCACCACACAGTGTGGGGTAGCAGTAATTGTAACCAGGGGGGGGGTGTACTTATGGAACATATCTTATATTTTAATTTGTATGTCCTTAATAAAGGCAATGAACCTACCTTTGTTACTTGTAACAGAAGGGAAGTCATTGACCACACTTTATGTAACTCAATTTCCGTAGATTACATTACTGATTGGAAGGTATCTGGAGTAGTTACTGCTTCAGATCACCAATTAATTACTTTTTCTATTAAAGGCCTCTCAGGACTGAAGATCATAAGGAGGAACTCCAGAACAGCTGATTGGGGTTCCTTTAGAGCAGCTCTGGAGAGGAAGATTGGGAGCTTCTCTGGTAAGTACAATAATGTTAATGATGTGGAGTGGACTGTTGACCTAGTGCAACAGATCATACTTGATTCGTATCATATTTCATGTCATATTACGTCTACTAGCTCCCCAACGTGTGTTTCTTGGTGGTCTTCTGAGCTAAGTAAATTACGTAAGAAATGTAGGAAGTTATTTAACAGAGCAAAGAAATCTGAAGAATGGCAGTCCTACATAAACGCTCTAACTGCCTATAACAAGGCTATCAGAGCATCTAAACGTCGCTCATAGCAGACTTTCTGCGATGGTATTAACACTACTTCTGCCACCGCAAAGATTGCAAAAATTCTTACTGAAGACTTTAATTGCAGTTTAAATGCCATCCGTCTTACAAACGGAAGATACAATGAATCAGGGGAAGAGGCTCTTGGAGAACTACTTGAAGCACACTTCCCTGGATCTCATCCCGTGGAAAATGAACATCTACACATTATTACCACAACTACTTGTAGTAAGAATGACTGGGAGGCTGCCAAGATAGTGGTCTCCTATGAGAAGGTTGTATGGGCCATAAAGTCGTTTAAGTCCTATAAGTCACCAGGCATGGATGACATCATACCAATGATGCTTATTCAGGGGGTGAATATATTGGCCCCTATTCCATGTAGGATTTTTTTGATTCTGTATAGCATTTGGGTATATACCTCACTCTAGGAGGAATACCACGGTGATTTTCATACCAAAACCAGGTAAGGAAAATTACTTTGAGGCTTAATCATTCAGACCAATTAGCCTCACTTCCTGTCTGTTGAAAGCGATCGAAAAGCTAATTGACAGATACTTCAGAGACACTGTGCTCATAGAAAGGCCACTGTCCTCCACACAGCATGCCTATCAACCAGGCAAGTCTACAAACACCGCTCTTTACGAGCTCTCCTACCTGCTTGAGAAATCTATCACAGATAAGGAGATGGCTCTTACGGTATTCATTGATATTGAAGGTGCGTTTGATAAAGTTCCGCTTGAGACTATCATCAATGCACTTAGGAACAGAGGTATAAACTCAATAATTACCAAGTGGATAGCGAATAATCTATCCTCTAGGTATGTTTGTTCCTCTCTATTGGGTGCAAGCATGAAAGTGCATGCAACCGCGGGATGCCCCCAGGGAGGGGTTTTGTCCCTATCCTATGGTGTATGGTAATGGACTCCTTGTTAATTCGGTTAACTGATCTTGGCATTCCCTGTATCGGGTACGCCGATGATGGTGTTATTATTGTCAGAGGCAAACATGAAAAAACAGTCTCTGATATCATGAATAATGCACTTCTAGAAGTTGCTCTGAATCAGGCTTATCTGTCAATCCATCCAAGATAAGCTATGTAGCCTCCACACGAAAAAGTCATCTTGATCTAGATAATGTATACTACTTGGGCCATAAATTGGAACTCACGGAGAAAGTCAAGTTTCTCGGGGTTTATTCTGACTCCAAACTAAATTGGGGTCATCATCTTGAATACAGTACCAACAGGGCCAGAAAGATTTTCTGGTCTTGCAGAAATGCTATTGGTAGAACCTGGGGATTATCCCTCAAAATAGTTTACTGGATATACTCAATGATTATTAGCCCTATCATCACTTATGGTGCAATCGTCTGGTTTTTCACAAGCCTCTAAGATCCATTTTCCAACTAGAGATGAATGTTTTAATTCTCCTCGGTGGCTTAAAGGCAAATGCCTAATATGGTACACTGATGGTTCAAAGATTGGTGCCAAATCAGGAGCAGGAATTTATTGCTCCAATGACGGTACCAAACTTCACTTCCCCCTGGGAAACTATGCCATGGTTTTTCAGGCTGAGGTCTATGCCATTATCTTGTGCTGCAAGATATGATTAGACAAGGGATTTTAAAATACGACTATCCGCATCTGTTCTGACAGTCAGGCTGCTCTCCTATCACTGTCAAGGTGTAAATTCACCTCTTTGTTAGTGTGGGAATGCTTCTTGGTCCTCTGCGACCTGTCCGCTCATAACAAGGTATCCCTGCATTGGGTACCTGGACATATGGGTATTGGTGGAAATGAGCTAGCTGAACAAGCAACACGGGCTGGCTTTAATGCAATTTCCTGGGGCCCTGAACCTGTGCTGGGAATTTCTCCCACCTCATTTAGGGCATCCATTTTTAAGCTCTACGACACGATTGCCCATGAGCAATGGCGCGCTGCTGACGGTCAGAGACAAGCTAAGGAGCTGAACTGCGACTATCCTAGTGTACGTCAAAAGGAGCTCTTAAAGCTTAATAGAAACAGTTTAAAGAAGATCATAGGTCTTCTTACTGGTCACTGCATCCTCAGGAGACACCTACACATAATGGGAATAGAATCCAATTCTCTTTGTCGGGGTTGTCATCCTGAAGATGAGACATCACGACACATACCCTGATGTCTATTCTGCTCAAAGATTTGAGCATTTAGGACAGCATTGCGTCAATACCTGGGAACTGCAAGATGTTCCTGTAAGGTACTTGCTGAACTTAATTTCAGCTATAGGGCTTTCTTGCTAATCACGATTTAGGGTTTGGGTACAATAGATTTCTAGTTGATGTGCCCTGCTCGTCAGAGCTGCCCAACCTCTAAGTCTAATATAAGAATGTGCTTTCTCGCATTTTGTATTCGAAAAATGAATTAATTATTTCCTCTTTCAAATTTTGTAAATCATTACAAAAATTAATATTTGTACATCAGTGCAAGAACTCGTACTTTCTTACAAAAATCGTAAAAACCGTGCAGTAACTTCAAAATAAAGATCGACAACAAAATCACACGAATAAGACTCTTCAAAAAAGAGGAATGCAAATAAAAATAAAAATTAAAGAGAACTCTTTAAAGAAAAAAATGAAAGAAAGAACATAATTTCTAGAGCGAACTATCGTTTCAACTTTTGCAACTTCTGAATTTTTTATTGTATATTATTCATTTGAAATTCTAACTGAAGCCAGCCATTATGAAATTTTTTTTCCAATCCAAAATGAGAATAGAAAAGCCACGATTATTTCTTTCCTCTTTTTTTGATGCCCAAGAAATGAATCTTTAAAAAAAATTTTGCAGAAAAAGAAAATCAAACATTTTTCGAAAAATTATGCAACAAGGAAAACCAAAATTTTTACGTTGCCAATTAAAAAATCTTTCTGCAAAAACTCTAACATTCTGCCACAATGTTGCCTCAATTCTGCCACGGGGGTCTCGATATTTTAAAAGCACAAATTAATTTCTATCAGTTTCGTTTACAGTTATAAGAAGACCTGATTAATTAAAACTGATTCGTTCTCCGTCTTGCAATCTAGAACAATCTAATAATTTTTTTTAACCTTAACAAAGTAATTCTGATAACTGGGATTCAATTAACTGAAGTTGTGCAATATTCAGTTTTACATTATTTGAGTTGTGAAGAATCATTATAATCAAAACTCTATAAACTATATTAAAGTATGTAGGGGGCATGCAACCCACAACCTTCTAATGGTCAATGGGCAGATTTCATCTTTTTGTCAAAAAATAATCTGGAGAATAATTTCCTCATTCAAATTTTTTAAAAAAAAATTATGATTGTTTTTTAAATTATTTTCAGTAAACTTTCTACATTCCAAATTTTTACAAATACAAAAACTTTTTTTTTTCTTCAACCAAAACATGTTTAAAATTTATTTCAAGAATTTAAATTTATTTAATAAAAATTAAAGATATTGGTAGTTACAATAAAGAGTAAAAAAAAAAAATATATATATATATATTTTTCCAATATTAAAACCCTAGTATGATTAAGAAGTATTATATACAATAAAGACAATGACCTAGGCTATACAAAGCAATAATTAAGCTACTGAGATTCCAATGACTAAATTACTTTTTTTAACACTAAACATAACACTAAATATACCTATTTCTACCATAGCCGGTCAAATGACCGGACTTAATGTTTCTTGATTAAATGCATGAAATATCGATGTTCGGCAGGAAATAAACTAAAAAAAAAAACGTTATAATAATTAAACAAAATTGCATATTGCAAATTTTTATGCATAGCAAACACAAAGAATAAGAATTTTTAACACATTTTTTTACATACACAGGATGTTTCCTTTGTACATTATCCGCAAACATATTTCTTCTAATTATTATTATTTCTATAATTCTTATAAAAATATATAAGAATTATAATTCTTATAATTATTCTAATAATTAATATTATTTCTTCTAAGAACTTGTTCTGTTCTTGATTGTTTTGACATTTTTCTGGGTAAAAACTAACAGTTAGATAGAACTGAAGTAAAGCTATCAAAATAAAATACAAGACACTTACCAAAACATTTAGTTTTTGTCACTTTCTCTTAAACAAAAATGCCAATCTAAAATTTCAGTAACTTTCCTGAAATTTGAGTTTACAGTTATTCTGATTGAACTCACGTTACATTGTAATTTCTGATCCGATAACTTTATAAAGGAATAAATTGTTCTCCGGGTCAAATGATCGGTTGTGGTAGAAGTAGGTATACAACATGTATTATTCAAAACAAACAAAATGCAAAAAGAATAAAATAATAATAATAGAATATAAACTGTATATAATTGTTAGAAAAAGTCATGAAGTCAAATGTGCAAAAACGATAAGCGCATTTTTGATGTAAAAGTTCTTAAACGGTCATTTGACCGATTATGGTATGTTTAGTGTTAAAAAATGTCAGTCCTCTAAAAATAAGAAAGGAAAAATTTCATTTACCCTTGATCAACGAGGTCCTGCCTGACTCGATCCATCAAGATTGACAATCTGTCCCATCTCATCTTACGACACTCATGGTGGAAATCAAACGATTCATACCTTAAAAAAGATTTTTGGGTTGTTATTTATGGAATTGATCCCTTTTTTTTAACACTTCAAGTATTGTTTAAGTTCTAAGTCAATTCACATTAAATTATTAGACTTGAACCACAACCCTCGGCATCAATAATATGGACAAACATGTGTTGTTGCCATTTAAAGGGTTTATTTATGATCATTGACAAGGGTGGTCACAGACACAAAAATTTGAAGATTAAAAAAAAAGAGTAAATAAAGAAATTTGGGAAAATTATTAGAACAAGTTTTAATATTTCACAGCATCACAGTTGCGGACAATCTTGCTAAATACTCAGATACACCAATATTTCTTTTCTATTAATAGAATGTTACATTTATAAGGTTACATATTGTAGTGTATCTACCACTACAAAAATACAATTCCAATTCCCTTGCATACAAGACACGTTAACTCGATTCTCCGGTGGGGTACCTTTTCATAGATGAAGGTTGACATTGTCTATAACAACACTTCCCACAATATTAGAAGATTTAATACTAAAAAGTTTAATTAGAGTTAGGCATGAAGTAGTTTTCTTAACTATGTCATGTAAAAAGAACTCCTATTTCAAATAAATAGAGGCCTTACTAATATCTAAGCATCTTAAATCATTTCCTTTAAAAAAATCTTTATCGTCTTAAATCTTTTTTTCCTTTAGGCTTAATTTAATTTTTTTTAAAATACATTGTAATAAATATTTTTTTGAAAGTTTTTAGAATAAAAATACATTTATGTTCGTGAACATTTATAATTTTTAAATCAATATGTTTCTTTTATTAGTTCTCCGTGGAATATATAAATAAAAGGGTCGAAAATGATTTTTCAAAGTTATCAAGACATTGCTATGGCCAGAAAATTGGTAATGTTTCTTAATTAACAAATACTGATAAATTATTTATTTTTTCCTCATTTGTAGATATTTACTTGTAATATTTCTTTATTATTCTTAATATTATTCTCAACAATTACCATGATTTAATATTTTCTTTTTATCCCAAATTAACAGTTTAAAACTGAAAGTGATATTCTTTTACTATAAAGTAATCCGGTAATATCACCTTATCAGGTGATGTTTGTAAAAAAAAAAATATTGAAAAAGTTTTTGAAAAACATGTTGAAAACAATATGTAACTTAACCATTTCAGAATTATTACTAAACAGCAAATATTTTATATTTACTTTTATAATGAGTTTTACATAAAATTATTTCCAGCCAAAACTGTTATTAAGAACTATCTTTACTTAACTAATATTACTTAACAATCTAGCGAGAAACATGAAGTAATTTTAAAGCAAACAAAAATTGAATAAAATTTTTAAAAAACAGTATATTAAGTTGCAATGTTAATTGAGCAAAATGATTATTGAAATCTAAGTTTGAATTTTATTCTAATAGACATTGATAACAAAAAGTTTTGGATTATTTTAATTGAGTAGATTTAAATTTTCATGTTACAATCTGCTTAGTTCTAATTACTGATTCTAGTTTAAACATATTTTTCTGATACTTAGGGGTTCCTATAAGTTTCAATAAAATTGAATTTCTTGAAGGTAAATGTGGGTCTTCTACTTAGGTCTCTACCCCCCCCCTTCTCCATTCTTTTACAATATTTCACTCTCCTCATAGAGTATCATTCTAGGCAAAAGGAAGAATATATTAATGACATTCTAGGTGATAAAAGAACGACTTTTTGTTTGAAATATTTTTGTAAGACTGAAAAATTGTTCCTATCAATTATAGTGAAAAACTGAAAAATTAAGCAGCTTTCAAGGACTGTAGAATTATTATGATTTTTTTAGTAACAGTAAAAATTTTCTGAGAATGGCTTTTGCGCATATTATGTGGGTCTGCCCCCAAGGATATCCGATCGAAAACATTCCAGAAACGCTTGATAATAGAATCTTGAAAATACACAGAACAATGGTCAGTCCAGAAAAAAATTCTGATTATTTTTTTTTAATCCTCCATCATGCAAATTAGGGTTCAAAATGGAAGACTGAAAACCCATAATTTGACAGGTGTCTTATTTCCTGACGATTCCCGGTTTCGAGATATAACTATGCTTTTTCCCGATTTTCTTTTTTTCAAATTTCATTTTCCCTAACAATTCACAGTTTTATATTTGAGGTGCCTACAAACCCTACATAATGTACTGAACCGAATGAAATTCATAGACATGGTTCAAATTGTTTAGTAGTTGAACCGATCGCTTGCAACAGTACTTTCGTTGGGTAAGTCACTGAAGAGATATTTCACTCTTAAGAATTAATATCAGACCTTCCCGACACAGAGACAACAGTATCAGTTTCAACTGCACAATATGGGGTTGTTACTGATCGCACGTATTATACCCACTATATTAAGAGGAAACACGTATTCACTGCACTCTTGTGAACTATATTAGGGGTTTTAGTTGCTGGAAAATCTTAGAGAAATGAGAAACATAAAACAAATAATGCTATTGTAAATGAAATAATTTAATATAGCTCAACTATCATCTTTAAATATCTCATAGACTAGACTTTGAGAGGTTCACATTTTTAAAAAGACAAAAATACGAAACAAAATTCCGTTATTTCGGCTGATTTTTAAATTTCCTGTATTTTCCAGGTTTTCCCTGTGAAGTAGCAACCCTGCAATAAAACACATGCTGCAAACCTCAAATAGATCTAATGAAAAATTTTAATAATCTGATGATGATAATTTGAACATTGGTGTTTTTTTTGCAAGAACCATTGGATAAAATTAAATGATAAATTACGCATGAAATAACATTTTGTTTAACTGATTTTATGTTAAATCCATATTTCGACTTTTCAGAATCGTGAAATCTGAGTTACTCTTTTTATAATTAAGATTAAAAAAAGCAAATAAAATTTTAAAGACTAAAAAAAAGCTATGCCAAATTATAATGTTCTTGCTTTTGAGAAGTTACGATGCTCTCAATCCTTGTCAATTTTTTACAGAATGGACCCATTAAAAAACCAAACAGGCATGAATACATTTATAGTACTGATATAATGTCAGTTTAAAACAATTACTTACAATTTTAAGATGGAAAACAATACAAAATTTAATTTGAACAAATTTTTATATTTCAAAGCATAAAAAGACATACTTAATATTAGAATTTCCACTAGACTGGATGATATCAGCTAAAGCATTCTCAAGTTTCTGTTCGCTGCCTTTATGATCAATCTATAAGCGAAATTTCTTTGTTACTTGCAATTTTAGAATTACTTTTAAAAAAACAACTATAAGAGGATAAATAATATTAAAAGTTTCCAGCCACATTTTCTATATTGCAATAAATAAAAAGTGTTTGCGTTTCTCAGTTCTATTTATAACTTAAATTAGGGTAATACACATGAATCCTGTCAAGACCCATTACACGAATTTTAACAAACAGAATTTTATCATGTTACCTTAGTTAACAATAATAATTGCATTTTTTAATACGACATCAAAACAACTTCTCCCATTTAAGAGTATGTAAATGCAGTTGAACTTGTTTAACTCGAACCTCTTTATCCCAAAATTTACAAGATACCCTACATTTACTGTCCAAAATCAATATATTTTCCATGTTTAAGCAGATTTTTTTCCCTTCAAAACCCCCGTTTCTCGAATTTCTAATAATAGAACACAAATGTCCAAACTTTCTTTATCAGTAAAACTCGTAGACAGAGATAAATGTCTTGTACCCACAGGAAGTAGGGATGAACAGGTTGGGGGTGTTTCTTGGAATTTCAATCACTATCCTTGCACTTCCTTAACTAGAAAGGAATATAATGATTCTGGCAGTAAGTGAGGGGTTAATGAGTAGTGACCACCAGGGATTAGCTTTTAATCATAGATAAGAAAGCTAAGAATTGAAATTCCATTTCACCTCAAAATTGCAACCAATGGATGAAAGGATAATTAAGAGTTTTAAAGTGAATTATAGAAAACCGTTGGTACACAAGCTTGTAGATGCCTTCAATGAAAAAAGTTCCATCCCAAAAATAATGATGTTAGATGCTATCAGAATGACTGTTTTGCCGGGAGAAATGTGTCTAAAAACAATCCAAAATAGTTATAAAAACCTGGTTTTAAGAATAGCTGTGAAAATTATGAACAAAAGGGTGAAGGCATCAGTAAAGAAGAAGAAACTGCTGACACTGAAAATGCAGTGCCAGATTGGAGTGAAATAAAATCTGGATTTAATGTTGACATTGATTTTGAAGATTTTTCACAAGTGGACAACTGCCTGGCAACATGCGGAACATCGAAAGATGCGGAGATTACAGATAATGTCAAAGGAATATCAGTTGAAGAGGAAGAAGCTAAAGGTCATATTGATGAACCAAAAGTTAATGCAAAAGAGGTAGAAAAAATTGTAGAATTCTTATCAACTATTCTTGTATCTCAAGAAAATGATGGGTAAAAAGGATTTGCGTTCTTTTTAACCTTTAAAAGAATAATCGAAACAAATAAAGTTATATGTCACAAATGTTTGAAAAATTGTTTCCAGTGTTAAATGTATGTAAATAGATGTATGTGGTATAAATATTTTAAAGAAATGCCTATATTTTTCTACTAACAGCAATTATAGCACTTTTAATAGAATTTCTTAATAAAATTTAATTTTTTAAAGTACTTGCATAACTCAAAACCTCTTTAACTCAAATTTTTCGCTTTTCCCGTGAGATTAGAGATAAACAGGTTCAACTTATTGGACAGAAAAAAATTAAACTCTCCATTGTGATCTTCATCGTCGAAACAAGTTTTTCCCAAATCAAATAAGAGCAGATAATGCATTTGTTCTTGGAACTGAGCCGTTAGTTCACAGCACTCGCCATTTAAGTGACACTGATCAAAGCAGTGCCCTTGGAGAAAAGAATCTTTAACAACAGATTCCTTTGTGAGCATTCCATTCATTATTCCTAGCTGTATTTGAAGTTTTGAAAAAAGAAACTTCTTAGTTTGGGAAATTTTATGTGATGTTCAATTTTTAGATTTAATTTATTATAGAGGTGCACAAACGTTTTGAATAAAGGGCAACTTGTACAAGAGCCATAAAGGGCCACATATTTAGATACCTTGACAGCAATTATGATATTTTAATATAAACATCAGGGTTTTAGACAAAATTCTTTTAATCAGACACCTTAGTAATATATATTGGCATAAAATTAAATTCTCCTAAACATTAAAATTTATTCAAAACTGAAAAATACCACACTTACACTTTTCGAAATAAATTTTTTTTTCTAATCAAAAAATGAATTTATTGGGGAAAAAATATAGAGATGGGAGAAATGTAATGGTTTTTTAATCACATCAATTGACATAAAAGTTTATCTCAAAATTACGTCTTATTAATATCTTTAGAATTATGTCATATTAAAAAGATTATGATTTAAAAAACTTAAGAAATTCGTTAAGATAGTCGCCGGAAAAAAAAGCCATAGAAAAACTACATTCATTTAGATTTAGTGTGTCAAAAATTCAAATGTGCAGTTCAAAATTTTTGATTTTTTAAAAACAATTATAGTTGTTTTTTTTTATTATGTTCAGATGCTGCAACAAGGTGCGTAGCCATATCTTTCAACAAAAAATAAGCACCATTTAAGTACTCAAAAATCATTTTTAAGCACTATATTCATTAACAAAATGTAAAATAATTTTCAAAGACTTTACATCATCAAGATAAAATAACTAGTTTCTATTTATTGGTAAATACAAAAAGATATTTGCGATCCTTAGCCTTAATGAGACCTTTCATCCTATAAGGAATAAAAATTATTTTTTAAGAGTATTGTCACTTACGTCCACAGCCGACGACGTCACACTAGCGATAGGATCAAATTGTATTGTCCATTAAAATTTCATGACAAAGTGGATTTTAGCTGAGCGCACAAGATGTTGAGAAAAGAAACCTTAATATTACCTAGATTTAAGATTATTTTCACCTTAAGACTAGTTTTATTTAAGGATTTTTTCATGCTAAGACAACCTCGATTTAAGGTCTTTATATAGAAGGTTGTTTTCCAAGGTTTTGGATTAGGGTAATGTGCACAGAATAGATCAGATCGTGACAGATTTTGTTTTAAGATTAGAAGGTTTACACATAAACCGCGTAATAAACTTTTGAGGTTTGCATTAAAAGGTTTTTGCTGAGTGAAAATAAACCTTATTTTCCTATCTGGGTGTTTATTACTCTTTCAACCTTTAGAAGACTTACCAAGTTTACTACTATTTGTGGACCATAGTTAAAGATTTGATTATCAAAATGCCTCTGGAAACCATCTGACTGAAATGAAAATTAAACATTATGAATTAAACATATAGAATGATTAAACATAAAGAAGAAAAAACACAGAAGAATATCTCCCTTACATGATTAGAATTGTTTAAGGTTGGTCTTGGTTTGTATTTCAAATTAGGAAGTTGGTTCCAAAACAAAGGAATAGAGCCTCTAGTCTAGAATTCGAAGAAAAGATTTTATTTAGAAAACAATAAGTTTTAATTTCTTATGACATCACATATAATTCCCTTAATATCTTTTTGTAAGATACTTTCAATAATAGCAAATATACATGTTACTAATTTAAATTAACAGAAGCGTCAACTTCAAAAAAAAATTATAATGTAATTTCTTAAATTGAATATGGAATATTTTTTTTAAAATTCGAATATTGTGAGCGATATTTTCAAATTTTGTAAGGGGAAAATGCACAAGTTATTTTCTTTTCTTGTAAGTCATCATCAAATTCAAAAACACATTAAAAATAGTGAAATCCATAGCAGTAACTACCGGGGAAAAAAATGATCAATGGTGAAATAACGCAAATCGGACTCTTCAAAAAAGGTTTCCTCAATGCGCATTAATTTCGAGATTCAATTGTTGTAATAAAAAATATGGGATTTTAAAAACTGTGTGGAAATCAATAGTAATAATTGCAAAGAAAAAAAAATAACGAAAATTTCTGCAGGAAAGAAAACCAAATTTTCATTATTCTCTGTTTTCTTACGGTTCTCAAATGAGAATAGAACAAATCACAATTTTTTTTTTTTTTTGCTTTGCACTCTGCTGCACCAGAAAGGCATCTTTTGAATATAATTCTTGAAATTATATTCAAAAGGCATCTTTTGAATAAAATTTGTTAAAGAAAAGATAAAATGTTTCGAAAAGTTCTGCAGAAAAGAAAACCAAAAATTTTAACTTTCTAGAGGAAAAATCTTTCTGCAAGAACTCAATAACATTCTGTAGCAATCAACGTCACCATGATTCTGCCAAGGGGAGATTATTTATTTAAAAAAACATCCTATCTACTTATATTCTTGCAATTTATTCTGTTCCCATATTTGCTTCTATGTACTGTATGTTTTATTAGTTTAGTGATATCTGTAAAAAATAATAATGGCTACATAAACACATATTGATCAGATATTTGATTTCTAACATCAGATATTGAAAACTGTACCCACAAAATGCCGGGCAAACAAAGCCAAATTTAAATGTCAAAATATTTGCTTTAATTGAAACAAAGTATTAATTAAAATTAAAGTGTTTCTGTCCAACAATTTTGTCTTCATATCCAGATGAACAGCGACAAATAGTATTGAGTGTAGTTAAGTGCGGCGAGCTCTCAGCTGATCGCTTATAGCTCTGCGGTTATAGCGACAAATATATCAAAGCGAAGCGTTCTATTTTTGTATCGAATATGTTGCCACATTTTTAATACAAAAGTTAAACTTTTCTCCACTTTAATAAATGTAAACTAATGCGAACTTTACAATTAAATTATTAATTCCTTCGTATATTATTGGTTTAAGTTGTCGAAAATTAATATTTCAATTGTAAGGTTCGCATTAGCATACATTTATAAGAGTGGGGAAAAGTATATGCATTTTTTAATAGTTTTTTGAATATGGCTCTTTGAAGACGAAAAAGCATAGATTTTCTTACAAAATGACTGATAACTAAAAAACTAATCCAAATTTTTGAAATAGAAAAAAAATACTTCTTCATTATGTCAAAACACAAATATGTGCAGAGTTTCGTGCCTGGGCGAGGCTTCTGGAGCGATATATTGTGATTACAGACAGACACACACACAGCCGCGTTTATTATTATGTATAGATATATAAGGCTTAAGTTGTTTAAAGAAATACTTATAATTTATCAGACTGAAACAGATTATTAAATTCTAATGAATAAAATATGATGTTTACCTTTATTAGCTTTGAGTTTGTTTTGATACAAAAGAATCAGCTATTTAATAATATTGTTTTTAAAAGTTGTTTATGTTTACTTTTGTATTCTGTACTTGTTGAAGCCGGTATGTATGTTGTACTAGTAGCGCCACCTACATTAAAAGTTACTTTTTAAAAAAAGTTACTTTTTAGTTTTTTCTCATTGCGAAATTTCCATAATATAATTTTTTCTTCATACTCGTTCGCCTTATCTAGTTCGTTATTCAATTCAGTTTCATCTTCAAGAAGATTTTCAACTGCAGAGTTTATCTTTTTTAACTCTGTTTCTTTTATTTTTTATAGCTCTAAGTTTTCTGCTAATTCATCAAAATTAATTTCTTCTACTGATAAATTATCTTCTATCTTTTTCAAATAACTAGTTACTGCTCTTCTTACAGAAGACAGTTTTGTTTCCACTTCTTGGAATTCTAATTCTTTTGCCATGCTTAATGTCTAAAATAGTTCAAATAACTATAAAGTCTACTTACCCCTTCTTCGGGATAAATTTAGAATATATTACCGGCGTTAATAATCCAATGGATGCGTTGATCATTATTTAATGCGCAACACTATCTTCACGAGCCACGCTGCGGCTCAACTTCACCATATTAATATTTTTCATTTGATTTGCATTTGCGTATTATATTACGAGCTCATGAAAATAATGTTGATCGGATTTTAGATAAATGACAGCTAAAATAATGAATTGCGGATTAATAATTCATATGTTTATTGATATACTGTGCATTGGTCTATCTCTGTAGATGCAATGGAACCAACTAAAATATAACTTTTTTTCTAATTAATGTAGATGGCGCTACTAGTACAACATACATACCGGCTTCAACAATACTTTTGTATTTCGTATTGTTTCTAAAATTTTCTATAAGTTTTTTATGTTTACTTTTGTATTAAAAAACACGCACACGACAGAAACAATTTCAAACAGCTTCAAACTTGTTACCTGTACAAAGGAACTTTTACAACCATCACATTCAATAATTTGCTCTGTTTCTACAAAATTTGCAGGGTTACCATCCTCATTAAGGCCACGCATAAACAAGCGACAGCCAGCTCGCAAACAGCTTCTACGTGACACCAGAATCCAAGAAAATGACTTCTGATTGATTGTGCACTGTTTAATTGTGATGACTAAACTCAAATAAAGAATATAACTAAGCTAAATTTATTTTTCAATGTAAGACACAGTCTATGAAATTATTATCCAGACAGTTTAAGCAGATTCTATACCAAAGAGGAAACCTTCATTTCCATTTAAATAATTTAAAATTTAATAAAAAGCACAGAGGGTGCATAATAATTTTCTAAGACTTTACATGATTATGATAAAATAACTGACAATGACAAATAACTGACGTTTCTGACAATGAACTTTTTTCTGGATTATATTAGCCACCATGAAAAGATCTAAAGATTTTTCGGTTCGATTTCAGAGGGTGGAAAATGAAGCCTGAAATTAAGAATACCTTGCAAAATACAGCAAAGTTGCATGTGAGAGTGCTAGAATCCCAATGAACCTGGCTCGGTCGATGCACGAGCGGACTCCCAATTATTTCATCAAACATGTAAAATGATAGACGCTTTCATGCGTTTCGGACGCGAAATGGATCGTGGTCGAATGAATTGCGAAAAAGTTTACCAGAAAAATGAGAAAGCCTCACTTTAGCTATAACATGTGTCGAAAATCGACACGGTAAAGAAAAAAGAATTGAAAATAAGCAACTTTAAGCACTTTTTAAAAATACTATGTACCATGAAGCAAGTTCAAACGAACTATAATGTTTCATATGCTGAAACAAAATTTTTTAAACAAATTATGGCACTTAGAATTACGAAATGGGAAAATAATTCTGCAATAATTTATTTGCACTTCATTATTTTAAAAAACATTTTTTCAGCACTCTACACTTCCAGGCTTCCTGAACTTCTGTCCTTTAAAATACCAAAGTAGGTGAAAGAGAATTTATCATGAAAAGTTTCTCCCATCATATAGTGACCTCTAAGGTCAATGTCTGTTTGTGAATGTTTAAATAACTAAACTGAAACAAGTGTTGCTCACTCATTCAATTAATAGAGTACAAATAAATATTGTTTCCTTTATTATAGTGAAACAAATATAGCTTAATAATAAAAATGATTAAATTTTTATTAAACTGAAGATTATTGACTAAATTATTGACTACATTTCAGGGTTTTGAAGGCGTAAGAATTTCACCAAACTGTGAAGAGTTGAGTTTATTTAATGAGTATTTAGCATATGTAGGCAACAACTTGATGAAAAAAATTTGATTACTAAACCTTTTTTTAATTTACTACTTCATTACATCCAGGTAAAATGTTTTCCGTTATCAGAAACACTTCACTGAGCAATCCAAAATCACTCAAATTAGAAATTAAATTTAATAATAAATTAAAAACTTCATGCTTTTAGTTCAGACTCACAGATGAATAAAAATGCATACTAAGTTACACAAACAGAATACTTAAAAAGGATACAGCCATGTATAACAGGTAGCCAATAATTTTGCAACTAAAAAACAGAAAAAGAAACACAATTTTAAAGAGTTATCAATGAGAAGAAAAAAATTTTCTTTTGATTTATTAAAGAATTAACATTCCTAACATTAATATATTTACGTATATGAATAAATTTTTATTTGAAGCATTGAAGAATTAACTTCAACAGTATTAATGGTTTTTTTTTCATACAATGTGACAATGAATAGCATTTTACATTGATTTTTATTGGTCAAGTGGTAACAAACAAAACTTGGTTAAACTTCTATTTAACGAACTTCCATTTCGCGAATTTCTCTATTTTGTGATTTTCTTCGAGGAAACAAGAATATTTTGGAAATAACTTCGTAAAATAACTTCCAAACAGTGAAGTGAATTTTCTATTTAGAGAACTTTTCTTTAAGATCCACTTTCCCACAGTTTTAAACTTGTTAACGCATATTATAGGGGAAATGACTTCATTTTCGTAGCCTTTTAATTATTAAAAAAAAGCAGTAAAATCCCTTTCCTTTTTTGTTTGCAATTCAAACTAAAAACTTAAGAGATTTTATCGGTAGCAATTAAACTTAAGAACGTATGTGGTATTGTATGTTTAAAATTACTTTAAAATAAATACATCTATGATTTTATGCATAAATGTAGCTTTTTAGTTGAAAATGTATGTAGCATGATACTGTAACAATGGACAATGTTTCGCTCTATTCATACTTTCCATACTGATTTCTTTTATAGCAAAAATTTATAAAATAAATAGTTTACAAGACAGTGTTTTCATTACAAAAAAAAATGGGAGAGAATTTCTCACCCTTTCTCAAAAACAGGGTGAGAATTCAAGAAGTTAAGTGAGATTGCTAAAAATTTTAAAAAAAACATGAAGACTTGGGAAAAAATTATTTCTTTAATTATAATACATTTTTAACATCTTCTAATTGAATATTTTTGCTGCAACATCATATGGAAAATGTTCTATATCTACTTTTTCATCAACTATTATATTTATTTGGCTGAAAAATATCCGTATTTGTTTCGTTTTGACCGTTCTGCTGTTCGCACCGGTTCTGAACAATACTGGTAAATAGGGAAGCTAGATAACAAGGACCGATGTTCAAAACAATGAAAGATCAAGGAAGAAAAGTGAAACCTGATTTATTCAAAATGGCTAAAGACGAAATTTTTTCCAAAATTCGCGCATTTTGAAATTGATTAATAGAGTTCGCGAACTTCTCGCGTTAATTATTTTTTATTGCGAGAAAAGAAAGAAATATGTGAGATTCTCGCGCTGTAGTGAAAACACTGCAAGATAAAGGTGTCTCAATTGCCATTTTAATTATGTTTAGTGTTTATGAATTTAAAACCTGTTTTGTGCTGTTAAAGTATTTTAAAAATCTTTTTTTTTTTTATTTAACAAATTTTCCATACGACGAACATTTTAGCTGGATTAAGCGACTGCATTAAATAGAGGTCAGACTGTGACTGCATATGCATAATTACTCTCTCTCTCTATATATATATATAGATAGATACGATATATATAACAGTTAAAAATATAGAGAAAACATGAAAAATAAATTAAATTGTTTTTGAGCGCTCCTTACATTGTATACATAGATTTTGCTTTGTATATATTGATACAGTATTAAAAAGCACTCCTTTTTGCTAATATAACAAACACATGTTAGTCTCAATGAAGTGTTTTGTTTCTGTTTACCTCAAGAATTTGTCAATGGTGAAAATTCCACCAAAATTTTCTTATATTCCGTCAAAGGTGCAGACGAGGTAGTTAAATTGAAAATAAAATCTTCGCTTTCAACTCGGAATCCGGACGACGAAAGTAGCATCGGTCGAGCATCGACCCAGCAAATTGAAGTGAGGGCTCAGCCTTACAATGTAACTTAGGTTTTGGAATAACTCTAACATCAGCACCTGTATCAACTAGTAATCAGTCAGTCATTAGGAAACCACCATTTTAGTTTTCAGTAGAGCCACTTGTTACCTACTTGCATTTTCTTGATGAGGCTCCAAAATTGGTGAGGTAGAAATAAAATTCTTTAGCGGTATCAACATCTGGAATGAGAGTGTCCTCCCCACAACCAAAAGATGGACTTCTAGACCAAATAGAATTTTGACCACTTTGAACAATTTCCATCAAGTTTGCAACTTGTTTAGACAACTCTGAAACTCAATGTTCTAAACTAGGATGGCACTGAAGTCGAAATGACTAAAGTTTGAGGTGCAAACTCTAGAATTCTGTCAACCATAATTGCCCCCCACTCATTCACAGGTAGTCTTTCTAATCACACTGATTTTAGCACTCTCGAATAGTTTCGACATTGTTTTTAGGGATATTTACCAATTTTCTTTCAATTCCATTTTTTTTACAACACTTGAATGATTGTAGACACATTTGTGACATCATAAATTAACAATCCTCTTTCCAGCAGCTATTTTTTATTTCGTTTTTGAACATTTATATGAATTTGATAATTAGATTTTAAACTAATTTAGTAACAATGTTCTTTTTTTAAATTGCCAACTTTTAATAAATGTGATTGCCTAATATTTTTCATTCACTTTGCAGGGTTTTCTTTTTGAGGGGGCAGTTAAATTGCAGCTTTAATGAATAAGTGCTATGGGTATTTTGAACCCCTGAAATCTTCACTTATAAAAAAAATAGGAAAAAAATTCTGAAAATAGGAAAAAAATTCACTTATTTAATTTAAAGCTGCTGAATTTGTAAGTAAATTTGAAATTTTTGGTGGAAAACCAGAATTTTTTAAAATAAGTATGAATTTAAGGAAGGAATTAAAAAATAAAAGTGGAAAATCCCTTTCCTGGGAACAGTTGATTTTTTTTACCAATGTTGTTGTCAAAAACTATATTTTTCAAGCATTTTTATTTGAAAAATGCATGTTATAAAAGGCTAAAATTCGAAATAGTTAGAGTTTTATTTAATACAATGTCATATAAAAACTTGCATATTTATTTGAGATACAGATAAAGTATGTCAGCAACTACAAAAATGAAGATTTTGTGAGAAAAGCTGATGTGCAGTTTCAGAATACAACTTAAATTAATTTCTAAAACAAAGTTCCTAGCAAATCAACTTGATGAAAATGAATAGTTTACAAAAAATATCAAATTTTATATTTTGAAGTATTAAAGAGCCAACTTATAATAACAAATAACTTTCATATTAAATACTGCTAAATTACTTAAATACTTAACTACATTTTTCTTAGCAAAACTACAAAAATACCATTAAAGAAATTACTTACTTCTTGTTGGGCTAGGAAATCCCTCATAATATGTCCATTCCAAATGAATCGTTGATCTGCCTAAAATATTTATAAATAATTAATACACATTTTTATGACTTTAAATCAGGGTTTCCAACCCAAGTGAACTATTTTCAAAAGAACAGAAAATATGTCTAAATAAGAAATATGACATACTGAAGCAGTTTATAATTGCAATCTAATTTAAATAATATTAATATGCCCAGAGACAGAATTTTTTCGAGCTATCTGTGACAAAACTTCCTCTAGCACTAATATCTTTCTGCAAGGTTCTTTTAATTATTACAAACATATATGTTACTCATTTAAAATAACAAAAGCGCTGTGTTGACAAAAAGAAACAATTTATAATTTGTTTAAATGAAAGTGTAATAATTTTTTATTCTAATATTATGGGTGATATTCTTATATTTTATTGGGAGAGGGGGGGGAATGCACAAATTATTTCCATCTTCGCATTTTGTAGATAATCATCACAATACAAAAAATAATTTAAAATCATGATATCCGTAGTAGTAATTGCCGAAAAAAAGATCGATAGCGTGATCATATGAATCGGACTCCTTGAATGTGTGTTTTGTTTCGAGATTAGGTTGTCGTAATAAATAATATCTAATTTAAAAACTGTAAAGAAATCAAAAGCAACAACTGCGAAAAATTATTGCCTTAAATAAATACACATATGCATGATTCAAATTTTCCATATTGTTTGAAATATATTGGGATATTTAAAAACCACGCAAAAATAAATATCAATAACTGCCGAAAATACAATCGAAACATTGCATCGATTTACGATACTATCGGCGTAATTTGAGTGAGTCAAAAATTTATTATTTAATGCATTATTCAAATATTAAGTGTAAATTTCAGATGAAAAGAAAAAATTTTTTGCCTTTCAAAAGAAAAATCTTTCTGCAAGAACTCTAACGTTCTGTGACTATGTTGCCGTGTTGCTGCGATTCTGCCAAAAGAGTTGATATGCAAGGTATTCAACACATTTTTAAAAAAGAGGAAATTTAAAGAATAATAATTGGAATTTAGAGCATCTCTTAAATCAAAACAACTGTTTTTTCCTTCAATGTTTCTTGTAAAAATTTATAAATAAATATATAGAATTTAAACAAAAATTGATAAAACTTTCTAATACTTTGAAGTAAAATTTATGAAAACATTTTAAAGTGTATTTTTAGTGTGAACATATTAAAGTGTACTTAGGATGCTTAATTTAAAAAAAAGAAACTTATAAATTTGCTATGACACTAGTATAACATGTTATTGAAAAGCAGAATTAAATCTGATTCAAATTCTGATATGTTTAGGATTTAGAAATATTATAACATTATGGAAAGTTCTTGTTATTTTATTGTAAACTGTAATGGTATGTAAAAATGTAAGGTGTATTTAGATCTGAAAGTAACATGTGAAAAATCCTTATCATACAAATTTGCAAGTAATTACACTTCCCTATAAGCATCTGGACATAAATAAAACTAATAACAAAATACTTTAATCTTGCACTAAAATAATAAGTAAATAAAAGAGTAAGCTGGCCAGCAATAAAATAAAAGTAATTAACTTTCTAAAAGAGCTGAACTTTTTTTCCCAAGATTGAAAAAGAAAAGGCTTTTTATATTGAAAAATCTTTATATAGTTTTTTAAATAATTAAAATTGTTCAGAGGTGCAAATTCATAAACTCCCGAGGAGTTTCAGCCAATGAATGAGTTGCACATCTCTGATATATACACACACACAAACACAGGCAGTGAAACCTCGGTTAAGCTGAACCGAAAAATTGCTTGTTTGCAGGAAAGGGACACTAATAACAAACGCCATAAATATTTCTTAGAATATTTTCAATAATGTAGAAATAACTATCATCAGGGATATTTATTGAAATTTTAAAAATTATTTTTTTTTCCTACATAAAATTATATGAAAAAGTTTGATATAAAAACATAATTCTAGATGCAGATAAATTAATATAATTTCCCTGTGAACACAGATATTCAAGTTAGTCATATGAATAGAATCCCTTAGTCCTCAGTCATTATTAGGTTTACGCCCCCTACCCATCACTTGATAGGAAAATTGGTTAATACAGGGTGCGTAGCCAAATCTTTGAATCAAAAATAAGCACTTTTTAAAAACTTTTCAAGCACTTTACAAAAATTTTCAAGCACTCAAAAAATTCATATTCAATCAATGATATTATTGAAAAACCAAAACTTTCTATAAACAGTTTTAGCGTTAAAAAAAACCCAAAAAGAAACGGGCGTAAATCGAAACAATCGGTACTTTCCCACATCACCGAGTGAATTCAACTTGACCCTGAACTCAGAACAAAAGTACCTTTACCCCCTACGTCAAAAAAAGTGTTAGAAGTAAAATAAAATAAACAAGAACAAAATTAAAATAAATTAAAAAGAAAAACATTTCATAAGGATCTGATATTCTCTATCTGAATTGGAGCACTCGGGTTTCGGATTCAAGTGTGCGCGCATGAGCAAGTCATAACGTGAGTATGACATGAAGTCCGCGTGAATGATTAAGTAGCAAACTCCCCATTTTTCTTGAAATGCATGGGGTCCACCAGATATCACTGAAGGGAAGAAAAGTATTATTCGGAAAAAAAAAGCACTTTTTAAAAACGCCAGCTGAAAAAAGCACCTTTAAAAGCTTTTAAAAACGAATTCCCCAAAAAAGCACCTTTAAATACTTTTTACAAACGCTACGCACCCTGTAATACCTCTTCAAAAATAAACCTCCCGTGATTAAAATAAAAATAAAAAAAAATAGCATCTGCTTTATGGAGAATGTACATAATGAGTTATTCATAGAAGATTCACAGGGAATTAAAAATATTTACGAATTGAGAGGTGACGGTTTTGCAGGAGTGTCTATAACAGGAGGTTTCACAGTATATATATACACATCATAACCCGCTATCAGAACCCGCACTAGGACTTTAAATTATTAGCCAGAAAATTAACTGAATATCAAAAGTATTACCCAAAGACAAATCTGAAAAATCTTTTATGATTAATTTATTTTTTATCGAAAACTTCCACATTTACTATAAATCGAACTATTAACACACTATAAATATACTATAAATCGAACTATTTTATAAAATGCAAATTCAAATCAAGAGTCAATTGGGGGGGGGGCAATGAATGGGGAAGAAAAATGCAGATTTTCTATAATCTTTGAGTTTAATAATAATAAATTGGAATTTAATATTTGATAATTTCTCAGATTAGAGAAGCAATGTAAAGATAACAGGGTGAGCAGTCAAATCTTTCAGCAAAAAAATAAACACCTTTATAAAATACTTTTTAAGCATTCAAAAAATATTATACATTAACAAAATGCAAAATTATTTTCAAAGACTTTACATGATCATGATAAAATAACTAGTTTCTGACAAAGAACTCTTTTCTTGATTATATTAGCCCCCCTAAAAAGATCGAGAGATGTTTTGGTTCAATTTCAGAGGGGGGGAATGAAGTCTGAAATTGAGAATATCTTGCAAAATGCAGCAGAGATGCACACGAATCTCACCGAACCCAGCTCAGTCGATGCACACGCGGATCCGCGAGCATTTCCACAAACATGTAAAATGATTGGCACTTTCATACGCTATGGACCGACAGTGCGCCAAAATAGATTGTGTTTGAATGAATTGTAAAAACGTTATACAGAATAAGTGACGAAAATTGACACGGTGAAGAAAAAAAATCTATTTTTCGAAAAGGGAAAATTAAGCACTCTTTAAAAAACACCCAATGAAAAAGGCACCTGTAACGGCTTTTAAAAAATAAAATAAAAGATTAGCACCTTTATGCGCATTTTAAAAACATTATACACCCTGTTTTTAGTATCTCGGTTATTTTTTACTGTTGTGGTGCGTCTCTGTAGAAGAGAAGAAGCAAATACTGTAGAAGTTTTTTTAATCATTTTATTCTGATTTATGGATTTTTATACTACTTCCAATGCTCATTGCCAACTGAATGCAGGTGGCTCTCATTGAAAATTAGTAATCTATAAAGATAAAGTTTTCTTATCTTAGCAACCATTTCAGTTCTGAATAAGTTTACTTTGATTATGTTATTGTCATAAATTTTACTTTCTTCAAAAATAGTTAGATGATAAACTACACCACTTAATCAGCTTTATTAGCACAAGCTGTAGGTTGTCACATATCTCGTGATCCGGAGGGTGTTAATGTAAATTTTACGAGGTTTTTTATACTTAAATAATCTCTCTTGCTTAGATTATCTGGACTTAATATAATACTTACTAGCTATACGGCATAATCTAACAGAAATTACTGTAATGAAGAAGAAATAAAGAGATTTGCATTGACGTTATTTTAAGGAACGAGGGGAATCTATATTTTTCTGGATAAAAAATCCATCACCAATATCTTCGGTGAAATACAATTTGTTTTATTGAATTTACTGCATTGGCAAGGTGGCAAATGTTTAAAGCAGGCCCTGAGCTTTATGTAGTTCATTTTCTTACAAAATTACTTTAAAAGCTAAAAATATTACAAATTAAAGAGTTCAAAAAGTAAACTAGTTGAGCCTTCATGAAATAAAATTACTTATGAAGCTGGAACACAGTTTAACATTTAAGTCAAGCCATTATTTATAATTTTGTGATCACGAAACTCACCTAAAATTCTTTCCAATGAAATACATGCAAAAAATAATGAGAAATTTTAATCGTGATTTTCATAAAAAAAGCATACATTTTTAAAAAATCGGAGTGAATTTTTAGTTTCGAAACAAAGCAGTTTATGAAAGTTTTGTAATAAAAAATCACTTTTTCAAGAATAAACCATGTTTCAGAATCACAATTTTATTTCATATCATTCAGTTAATGAATATCATATGAAGAAAGTACTCACTCTTTGGAATAAAGGCATGGATAGGAAGTCTGGACTTGTATTGTGTAAACGTTGCAGCGTGTGACTGATATCGTATGTATAAGAAAAATAGAAATAAGGAGTCTTCAAGACAGACTGCACCATTGAAAGATAAACTTTATTGAAGTTTTTCTGAAATAATAAAAAATATATAATTTATTAGGATAAATAAACAGACATTAAAATTAAGTAGAAATTAATACAGTCAAACCTTGTTATAGTGAACACTGTTTATAGTGAACTCCCGAATATAGTACACAAAAAAAAAGAGAGAGAGGAAGTAGTACATTAGGAACTTTTTCCTGCTTTTGACTGATTTTCTTCATTTTTTTTGTAATAATTCTGAAATTTTGACTTCAAAATAAATACATGTAACCGATTTTTAAAGCCATCTATAGCATGAAATGCAGCAACAATCATTTTTTCTTGTTTGCTTCATTATTGACTAGCATTATGGAATTGGTTCAACATTCAAAGAATCTTCCAGTATATCGACAAATGCTTAGAGTAAAAACCGATGAATTTGCTGAAACTACTTTTATGTGCTCGAATGGCTGGGTTTAAAAAGCAGAATAACATAAATTCAGGAAAAATTATCAGAGTTTTCCATATCTGATGTTGTGGATTGCTCATCAGCAAAAGATTACTAATTTTTTTTCTTTTTTGTACGCAAGATGAAGAGTAATACAAAATTGAAGTAATAAAATTTTTTTAAAACGAAATTAATTATTTTTCAGTCATTTTTGTATTTTATTTTATGGGTCATTTATTTAGAGAATGTGTAATAAAAGAGGGAAGTTTGGAGGGAACATTAGTTAAAATTGTTTGCGGAACGGATATAGTGAACAGAAGGACCCTTGAAGGTTCACTATACATTCGACCCCCCCGGTTGAATGTACAAGAATGGCCCCATATTGTAAACATATAATAATTGAAAACAAAATAATTAATCTACAATGAATCTTTTAACAGCTTTCATTACAGGAGATAATTATTTATGCATTTTTAGTGCTATCCTTGAATCTGCATAATATGTGAAAGATTATTTTATTTAGAAGTAAATTGTTAGTTACAGTAAAAATTAGCTAGCTAATAAACTGATTTTGTAATTTAGAACAACAATCAACACGGCAAAGAAAAAATATCTTCCTAATAGATATAAAATTAAGCACTTTTTACAAACCCCGAATAAAAAAAAGCACTGTTATGGGCTTTTAAAAAACGTAAATCAAAAATAAGCACTTTTTAAAAATGCTATGCATTAGAATAAAAAATTGTTATATTACCAATTAAAAAAATTAATTTTTTTTTTGTAAACACAGCGCTTTTGTTATATTAAATGAGTAACATATATATGTCTGTTATAGTTAAAAGTATCTTGTAGAAAGATATTAATGGTAGAGAGTGCAGATAGTCCTGACACAGGGATGCCCTAGTTGTCCAAATACTACATTTTTAATTCAGCATTAACAATTGTGAGGGAGTTTTTGGTTTAAAAAAGAGAGAGCAAGAAACATTCTCAAATGATTTAAAAGAAATGCTCGTTTATTACAACTTTTCTTTATGCATGCTGTAAATGACGGTAAGTGTTTCATACACTTAGATGCTGATAAAACTTTTATTTTTCACAGTGGAATCTTTTTAGACGTCCATTCTCGTGGAACAATCTGTGACTGTGGGGAAAGTTTTATTCAACAATGTCATCTATGAAATGGTACCCCACCATAGAATCGAGTTAACATGTCTTATATACTAGTGAATTGGAATTACATTGGTGTAGTGGTAGATACACTACAGTACTCCCCCACCAGAATTTTATCTGTGATAGAATTTGATGAGCTGATACCACTAGTCGATTCATTGCTGTTTTGTGGGTAGTCGGGAGAGCTGCATGAAGATCACCATACTTTTTGAATACTGGTCGTGAGAGCTGTATTAAGTTCACTGTCGTGGTCGCTCCTGTGTTGCCATTAGCAGTCGAGTGAATATGGTGTGTGTGATTGAAACTGAGCAGCAACAGCACGAGGAAGTGTATAATGTCAGCCACAAGTAGCAAGTTAACTTCATTGTGGAGCATCTATCGAAGTAGGCGTGTTTAAATCGTAGTGGGCGTTCCTGCCAAGGTAGGCTCTTTCACATCACGTCCGGATCACCAATGTGGGGAGTGAGTAATTATCGACCATGTCAACCGTCATCTATGAAAAGGCACCCCACCATAGAATTGAGTTAACATGTCTTATATACTAGTAGTGGTAGATACACTACACAAACATAAAATTTTTGAAAAGAATTATTTGAAAACTTTTAGAAACTTATTGGCTAGATTAGCAGTTCCCAGTAGAACCCTAGGGTTCCATAAAAAAGACACAAGGGGTTTGTAGAATTTAAATTTTTAAAATCAGTAATCAATGATTTTTTAAGCCTGTAATTATATTTATATTTTTAAAAATGAACCGCAATTTAATATTTTGGTTATTTTCCGCCCTAATCTAAATTTTTCCCTTTTTAGCCACTTAGGTGGCAAAGGCTGTTCTAAGAGGATAAATTCACTCTATTTACCATACTCTTACTTCTTGCAAATTTATTTTCATAAAAGTTTCTTAAAGGATTCTTACTTGTTCATCAGTGAGGTGCAAAAGAGCTCGAGAATAGGGAATGATTTCAGCATCTTCAAGTCTCCATACAGATTGACCATAGATACTACCCACAAGACTTTTTTTTGTGATCACAATCAAATAAGGACCTAATTACATTTCATTCAATTAATATGAGGTATTAAAAAATATGCATTAATTAAATTCACATACCATATTAATTACTCATGGGAAAAAAATAGATTAATTGGAAGGCTAAAAATAGCATGACAATAATAAAGCACACTAAGAATGATGAGGATACAGAAATGCATGATAAATAACTTAGAGGAAGGAATTTTATTCGCAGCTGTGCAATGAGCAAAAAATAATAGTAAATAAAAAAAATAATCTCCCTGAATAACTTTTGTTCTAATGATTGGATTTTCACATACTAAGTGAATAAACTCGAATATGAATAATAAGTCATGTAATTCTCTCAATAAACATGTTTGAATTCCTGACCCTCAAAGATTTTGAAAGATTGGATAAAATGAGGGGCTAATAAGTTATATGTATATGGCGATAGTCACATAAAGCAGCCAAGTAAAGTCGCTGCTAGAAATGAATATTTTAAGATGACCCATACTCTAATTCAAGAGAGGAATATTTAATTTTACTATTGCTAAGCAACAAAGTTCAGATCATTAAAAAAAATAAAAAATTGAAATAATGTTCTGTGATTGCTCGGAAAGGTTTATTTATTAATAGTGTATAGAAAATAAAAATTTTATACCTCATAATTAAAAATATTTTTATCCTCAATTAAACTAAATAATAAAAAATATTAAATAATTATTAAAAAACATTTTTTTGTATTCTAGGTAAACAAGTTTTATCAGTGGACGCAGTTTTTTTTCTTTTTTAATGCTCAATTAGTTTTAAAAATATGACTAGAGACACAAAAAGTGAAATTAACATTAAGGGGTCCAAACTTTGGATCACTCTCCTGACCAAACTATGAGGACCATATTGACCCAGATTGCGGCTATCTCCTTTATTTTGTAGGTGAAGAATCCATATATGTATATGTGTTTATTCGGAGTAAGTACATTTTTGTGACTGATTTCTAAACTCAATTAATAGTTAGCACAAAATAATTAGCATATTTGAGGTCACAGCCACGAACCATTAAGATTGACACTTAGTACAGGAAAATCCAATCATTAGAAGGAAAGTTATTCAGGGTGAGATCTTTCTTTTTTTTTCCGCACAAAGTTCATACCATCGAAGACTGTTTCCTAAACTTTTATGAATTTTTTAATACATTATTTTATTTGATAATTATATTATTATTGAGAATTATATTATTTTGATAATTGAATACAATTGCACTGCTTTTTGTCGTTGCAGAAAGAGTTACACTGATGTCTGGTCATTTATTTTATAAACTATTATTATAATATAAAATACATTAAAATAATGTTTAAAAAAAAAACAACTAGAAACATTATGTGTAATTAACTTAAATAAAATTTCTGCATTTAATTTGACTTCTCAAACTACTTAAGGTTTTAATCAGTAAACTTTTAGTTTAAAAATGTTTTACATTACATTTAGTGGCCACTGAAATGCAAAAATACTTGTTTTAACACATCTGAATTCCTTCCCAATAATAATTTAAGCCATGAAAAAATTAAATTACCTCATTTCGTTTGAAAAATAGGAATATTTATTAACAAAAAAAACTTTTCTGTTAGTTGGGAACCTCACCTTTACTTTAATTTCTTGACTAATTAATCATAGAAGTATAAAACATATTAAAACAGATATGAAGGGGAAAATCCTTTTTTACCTCCAATAAGATGAATGGTCCCTAAAATGCCATAGATTGATTGACTTGTTGCACTTGGATTAATTTGACCTTGATTTCCTATAAAAAATATTAATACATAAGATGAAGTTAGATTCCATTTCGCACATAAATTTATTTTACTACAAAAAGAAAGGAAAAAAAAATCAAAATTTCTTTTTAAAAAATGCCAGAAATATGGTTGATAAAATAGTAGAAGGTTCTTATAAGAAAATCAAATAATAAGGAATTTTAGCTAATCCTCTCCTAATAAAGCTACAATATATATGCAGGAGAAATAAAATTGCTGGACTATATGTGCAACTGAAATTCTGATAAAATAGTGATGAAGTCAAAAGTATGACAAAGCAAGTCATAAAATAAAATTCAGCTTACAGTTGTAAATCATGGTATTGCAACCAATAAGATCCCCTTTACATGATATAGAACGAAGAAAAAAAAATACACAGATTAGGTCCAAAACAGAAGTAATGATGCGTCTGCATAATTTTCCACCTTTGAAGATTCGGCCCTTTCAGCTGAACTACATGTATTTCAAGGTGAAACTTGATTAAGAGGCTAAAATATAGTAATTTAGATGGAGTCGTGATGGCTCAGGGGATAGAGCGTTCGACTTCCAATGAGGTGAACCGAGAGAACCTCAGCGATGGCTGATCTATATGAATTCCGCATCCGGTTCGCACCAGATGCCGATTTATTATTTTGTATTCTTTCTTTTTGTTGCTCATTCTGTTTGTGAGTTATATTTCTCTACCAGTTAAATATGCTTTTAAAATAAATCATTTACAATGGAAACTTTTATTTGACGTACAGCTTCTATTTTGAAAAGGACAGGCTTTTCCTCTCTCAAGCAGTACTTGTCCAAGCACTTTTCGCATACATTGTTTAAGATTTCCTATTAAAAGCATTCCCACGCTTACTGAATTTATTAATTATCCCATTGTTAAGTTTCAGGTGTTTCCCATAACAGTTGCTGCATGAAAAGTGGATAGCATAGAAGTCCTCTACAAATCGCTTTAACGCCATGAGAAATTTGTTGGTGGTAAGATCAGATGCAGGTTCAATGCGTTGTTGACTATGTTTCTTAGCTGACAACTATGAATATACACTTGGTCCATTATGAGGATGACGCAACATTCAATGAATAATTATTATGGTAATGCCATTTATGATTTACAGAGACTATGAATATAGAAAAGCAAAATATCTAACAAAAATATTTTATATAGAAAAAAAAGAAACTTAACATAACTCAGTAAATTTATAATTATTTTTGATTCCAATAAAATTTATGAAATTAATTTCAAGCATAAAATAAAATATTATTTTGAGAATGTATCTTACGTTGAAGACTGATTTCTCTGGATGTTCTATCAATAATCAAAAGTTCATCAAAATCTCCAACAGGTTCAATAAAAAACTTTTCAGGAGTCACATAGCTAAAAAAAAAAAAAAAATTTACAGCACATTCAGTAAAAGGCACTTGATTTAAATCAATGTAAAGAATAATCTTTTCACAGTAAAAACAATTCTATTACCATGCCTTAGCAACAAAACTTGAAAATAAGATGTATTCAATTTGATCAAAATATGAAGATATAAAACATGTTTCAACACAAGACAAAAATTAAAAATAACCTGAATTAACCCCGTCCATGTATTAACATAGGTTTATTTTACTATCATTTATAAGCAATTTCACAAAATACCTAAATGATACAGTACAAAAAAAAAGCAATTTTATACCAAACAAAATATACAAAAAGAGAATATTAAAATAAGCAACAGAGGTTACAAACTGATTCAAATGACTGAGTAACTGAAAGAATAGACTAGTTTGAAATATTATTTCTAGTTTGTAATATTTGTTCTCTTTAAAATAAAACATTTATGATGAAACAAAGTAAGTCACAAAATAAAAAAGTTCGGAAACTAATTTTTAAAAAAATCAAATTTTATCATTACATTTAAAAAATCATGTTTATTTTATCACAGTTAACATAAAACATTTTTATATTTCACAAATATCAAAATTAAGAGTTATTAATATAAAATCAGATAAAAATTACAGAAAATATGAATAATTTTTACAGTAGTGATAAAGTAAAACAAATTAGAATTTTGAGAACAAAAACACTTAGGGTGACCTGGGGTAATTCCTGATCAAAAAATGTAAACATCTATTTTGTGAAAAAACTGTACAAGATAAAATTTTAATATTTACTGGAAGTTTGAGGCTATATGAGATGAGTCCTATGCTACCTTCTTTTGTTTGAAAATCTAATTAGAATTTAAAAGATTTAAAATTTTTAGTGATCAGGAATTACCCCTGGTCTTGATCATTTCTGGGGTAATTCCTGATCACTTCTGGGGTAATTACTGATCACCAGTTTTTATTGTAAAGGGGCTGTTTAAAAATAATTATATAATGGTAATTAACAAATAAGACATCAAGATCAAACAAATAAACCAAAAAGATATGTTTAAGCAGCTAATAAAACTATTTATTTAAAAGCAAGAAGAAAGATTAACACTTTAAATTGCAAAAAATCTTTGCATCATGCCATACATTTTAGGCAATCAGCCAACTCATTCTCATGTTCTGCTGAAATATAAGAGAGTTCCCTCATGGATTACTTTTGCTGGATTTTTTAACTTCATTAAGTGAAAGTGTAAAGTAAAGTAAGGTATGTCAACTCAACAGCTCTGGCAGCAGCTCTCACATTGAAATTTTCATTTTCAATCATTAAAAGAAATTCACTAATTTTGCTTTCTAGAAGCTTAGTATCCTTTTTAGGCTAATAATTTCTCACCATATTTATACTAAGCTAATTTATAAACTTAAAAATTATTCTAACAATGTACACACATAAAATTAAGATAGAAGCAAGGTATGACAAACCAGAAATGGTACAAATCAGAATACAGTCTTGTATACCGTAAAAAAGAAAATCTTGCGATGACAGTTAAAATATATTTTATAGTTGTTCCACTTAATAAATATGAACTGTTTTTTAAGATAAGACAATTAGCTATTTTATATACTATTTATAAGAAATGACAGTGATCAGGAATTACCCCAGTGATCAATAATTACCCCATCTGTAGGGGACAACATTTGATACAGTTTTCTATAATCAATTATAATGTTTACAGTAGATGTGAAACAATTAAACAAATGCTTACACTACTTTTATATCAAAGAAAAAGAAAGTAACTCAAAATATTTATTATTAAGAGAAGGATCTTTGCAGAAATGTGCACGTTTTGAAACCCATCTTTGAAATTGAAAATACAGAAAGCAGTTTAAAAAATACTTATTTTGTTAGCTAAAACAAAAAGCTATTATTAAGTAAATGTAGTTATACTTTAGTAAAGTGTACAAGCATTCTTGCCCATGTCTCAAATTAAAAAAAAATAATTTTTTTTTTAAAATATAACTTAGGTGATCATTATTTACCCGAGTAACAGAGTGATTGTGAATTACCCCGGGTCACCCTAATTAACATATATTCATCATTGAAAGGGAGCTGGTAAGCCATTTGCTAATTTTTATCTGTTTCAAACTCAAGCCAACTCAGCTAAATGGAACAGATCAATGTTGATTTTTATAAAGCCATAAACCATGTAGCAAATATAAATTTATCTCAATTTGTTTCATTTTATTTATTATGTCACATCACTTCATTTCATGTAAATAATCAATACATAAGAGCATATTTTTGTGCTATCTTTATTTAAAAAATATTTTAAAACATTCAGAGCATATCCACCCTCCTGGAACAAGTTGGTACCCTGATGATCTCTTTTTACCCCTCTCCCTACTCTACCATGAGTCAGTCAACACATAAATTTATATGGGAAACGAAATGCAGTTGGCACACCTGTTCCCCCTCTTCCATGGCTGATAACCCCTCAGTTGTCCAGCAGAACCTATGGCAACACTTCTGTCCTGTGGAGAGTCATAGGAGAAGAAAATTTCTGTCTTCAAATAGATTAAAATCTTTTAACTTAGGAAACTATATGGAACTGAAAGGTTAGTACTGCATACTAAATTAATACAAAAATTTTTTAAATTAACACGAGCTTTACCTATTTTAACTCCTTAAAACACCAGTTAATTTAAAACTGTTACACTTTTTTTTTCAAAAATATATTTATATTAAAATATTTTCACAAATGTAGTCACGATTGTTAACATTTAATTTACTTTCCTCATATAGAATACCTTAACATTTTTCAAATAACAGTTTAATAAAATAATTAAAATAGCAAAACAAAAATATTTACTTCCTTATTATTTAATGTGAATGTTAGAAAGGAATAGAATTTAAAGAAAAAAATTAGTTTAATTTCAAGGAAATTCAAAAAAAAAAAAGATTTTTTTTTTCAATTTCCATTATTTAATTTTCTTAAAAAACTTTATCTAATTTTTATTTGCTTAGAAAAGTAAAAATTTCAAGTTAAGTAAAGTTACGGAAGTTCCTTACATACTTAGGCGACTTGCAATGAGGAAAATTTCCATTTTTCCGGATTATAATTATTTTTCACATTGCTGTAAAAACTAAAATTATTGGGAACGAACATAAAACTTTTTGATGACTATTAATGCAAAAAATATATAATAGCTATTTCTTTTGAAAATATAATATATTTTCTAAAAGTTTTTGCTTTAATCTGACTTATAGGGAAAACAAATTAAAAAAATGTTTACGTACAGGATAAGATTGTGATGAACAGTTCCTAGATTCATATTATTCTCTTTCATGAATACAAAATCGACTATTTAGAATACACTACGATACTTTAAATTTATTATAGACTAATCGTAAAGCTTGCACATTTCAATTAGAGATCAGAGAATTTATGGGGCGACAAGAAAAAAATTACTTGATAACGTTTCCGACTACCTATTTTTCTCAAAAATAGACACCAAAATTGAAATAAATCTCTATTGATACATTAAAATATTTTATTTTTTTATCCTTTCACTAAAAAAAGAAGCCTTAATTTTAAGGAAATAGACAGTGGGAAGCGTTCTTTGTTTTGTTTACAGAAATTTCATTGTGAATGTATTTTATAACAAGGTTCGTGACAAAATTAAATAGGATAAGAAATTATAATACTGCAACACAATCTTTGTTTTGCTCTCATTGCTGAATAATATTTTTTTTAATAAATCTGTACATTAATTAGTTCTTACTTGATTTACTTTGTAATGGCAGATGGAGGAATATCTACTGATGTCAAAAACATTGTACAAAATCTTCAAGGAACTCTTAATATCGCTTGTGACCAATTAACAGGTTTTTATTAATTTAATTTTTATGCTAGCGTATATTATTTTAGCATGATTACCACATAATTATCATATTGTCTCTAGATGAATTTCTGAAAAAGATTTTGTAGCATTCAGTTATCTCTATAAAGATTGCCTGGAAAGTAATATTTTTAATTTTTCTTTCAAATTTATTTTCTGAAAACAAATAAATTTTTCCCCCCTTCATATTGCTGCACGGTATACTATTGATACACTTTAAGTACGCAACTTTAATCACCCTTAGAAAAGAGAAGTGTTGTGCCCCTGCTTAAATAATAATCTATAAATGTCTAAATAAATTTTTTTAATGATTTCCGGATATCTTTGCTTTAATTTTGTGGCTCTACCTAAAAATGTAGAGATCTCTGTGACCTTTTTTTTTTTAAAAAAGGGAGTAGAAAACAATGTTTTCTATATTAAGAAAAATTAAATAATAATAATTTTAAAATATGTGGCTTTGTGTATGCAGCCTTCTTTTTTTTCACATGTATGTTTAAATAGAAAAAAATTAATTTTAAATTAAAAATTAATTCAATTATCGAGCCTATTTTGTCTTCAGAGTGGCCTCCTTAAAATTGCTGCTACCAAAAAAGCAAAAATATTCTTTTTGATTTTGAATAGTCTTTTCATGGATATCAAAAATACTACTGACATAGTACCTTAGTGTATCTATGTTGTATATTTAAAAATTCATTCCAAGTCGAAGAACCAGGCTATTCTATTAGGTTACATCAATTGAAGCTAACAAGTATTTACCAGTAAAAAATTATATTAGAAAAATCCAGTAAAAATCAGGTGAAGGAGGTTTTGAAAGAAGGCACCATTTAGTGAATTTTAACCTCTTTTCTTACTTTTTTCTAATGAAATTCATAAAAAAGGTATAATGAATTATGGATATTTTTAATGGCATATATTTCTCAACAATCATTTTTTATTTCAGGTGACCTCCCTGTTCGTGACTGCACTGACTTTGAAAATGAAACATTTTGGGCAAACTTTGGTACATAAAAAAATTATAATTTTTATTATGTTAAATTAAATATGAATGGTGTTTACTACACTAGGGAGTGCTGGAAGCTCTGGACTGCCTATACTTCCGTGTTACTGTTTTTGGTGTGTTTTGAAGCCTCACAATGTGATCATTGTATCTCTTGAGTAGTATTTCTTGTATTTGTTAACTGATTTATTATTTGTGTTTTAAAAAAGAATCGTTAGGAGAATCTTCACTTGAAGACCTGTCATTTCAAGACGTAAGAATTGTCATTTGAAAAAAAGAATTGTTATAAAACACTATAACAATATATCGAAATGAAACCTAAATGATCATTTTCAAAATGAACGTAATTTCACTGCTCCAACAATATGCTAACATACGATGGTGTGCTTGTCTTGCACCAAAGACCAAACAGTAATAAGCTATTAAAAAGAGGCCAAACCAGAACTGCCAAAAAAAAAAACGAATTATTTCAAAATCTTGCAACCATGTCACTTTTTTTAACAATATATCTCTAAATAACTAAAACAAATTTTCACTTCCAACTCACCCAAGTAACTTAATATCTCGTGAAATACATCAGATTTGAGCTCAGGGATTATATAATTTCTTTCTCTTATTCAAAACAACATCTGTTTGAAAATATCGCCTTGCAGAATAAGGCTGTAGTAACCAGCTTTATACTTTCTAACCGGAGCAGGTAGAGATTGTTGTTGTTTGCATTTATACCATCCATAGGTTTCTAACAGTTCTGAAGGAAATAATGAAGTAAAATTGAAAAGGATATAGATGCTTTGTATTGTATTTCTAATCGAAGAGAGCAAACACTTGTGTTTTATAGCAAAAAATAATAATAATCTGCTGTAATTGGAAGTTTGCCAATTTTTGTTGGGAGGTTTGCAATTTGTGAACTTGTACAATTGTATATACAATGATGGATGAATTTACATAGTAAAAAGAGTTAAAAAAAATGGTGTTCTCGAACAAAAGTGAAAGTAATGCAGATGATTTTTCACATGATGACGATGTGAACATATGCAAAGACTCATATTTAACTTTTTTCATATGCCCGAGATAATTTGGGATAGTAAACTGTTGGTAAATTAAATATTTTTTGCTCATAAGAAAATAAAAATTTCAACTTAGAACTTGTTTATTATGTTTTGTTTTAGTTCCTTGTATTTATTAATGAAACAAAAAAATGAGTTGATTTTTTAAATTTTTTTTTTCCCTCCAAAAAAATTTGTAAGGAAAGCGATTAATCAGCTTACAAGGTTGAAAATATTTATTAAAGAAAGGTTCAATTATGTTTAGAAAATATTGATTAAAACAACTAGAAATGATGTGTTGTATAACTGAAAAGGAAACCAAATGGATAAACTGCAATGTTTTCGATAAAGTAAAAGACATAACTGTTACTGTATGCAAAGGTGATACTTTATTGTCAAAAGAGTATTTTAGCTAGCTGAAAACTGGTATACACATATAATAAATCTCTACCTTTATGATAATAAGAATACAAGAACACAGTAATTGTTGTGTTTCCTCTTTATATATTTACTCTTAGTTTCCTCTTAATATATTAACCTTTTCTACTCTTAGTCTTTCCATCAATTAAAACTAGTACTGTTAGCCTAATATAGCTCACACAAGAGCACAGCGTTTGTGTTTCCTCTTTCTTGATACATTGTATATAATACGTACAGCGCAAACACAGGATTTTTTTTTTACGGGTTTGAGTGGCAACCCTGATACGTTATAATACTATAAAAAATTAAAACTACAAAATTTTCAATAGTTTTGTGAAGAAAAAAATTTCTAGCAATTTTTTATATTTTCCCAGATTGTGCGATGCCTGAAACTAGGAAAGGTAATACTCCAACTATGAAAGAAATTGTGAAACTAAACTTTAAAAAAAAAAAAAAATTAGTATTTTAATCTATAATTTTTTTTATCTATATTTAAAATTCGATTAAACTTTATGTAAAGCAAAAAAAATCTTTTTTTTCTGCTTTATTACTTGCTGAAGAAGAAAGTTAAATTAATTTTAAGTATCATAATTTTCTTTTCTTAATACAGATCTTTGAACAGTTCCATTTTGATTAATCAAATATTTATTTTGTCTATCGATAGATAGAATAATGTGAATATTGAGAGAATTCATATTTTAAAGAAGCTTCTTTGTAAACAGTATCCAGAAACACTGAAGTTCAAAAGATCCATTGTTTCTTAGTGCAATCATTGGTTTCTTCAATGAGTTACACTTTTTCTTTTAAATTAAAGAATTTATTTGTTTTGTGAATTATAAATATTGATTTCATCTTCAATGTATTTAATTGCTAAAAATTGATCTATGTAATTTTGATTATTTCTGTTGTACTCTTTCTATGCAATGTATTATCATTTATAAATTTTGTTTTTTTTATTTCTTCAGCTGCAGCAACAAATTTGGTTTCCCATGAGGCCACTAAATTCTGTGTGGCTTTTGATTCAGGTGGAGTTACGTCAATTGAAGAATGTCAGTGTCTCGTAAATAAAGTTGAAAATGCCTGTCTGGCTCTCCTTTCGGTTTTCTTCAAATTTCCGGTTTCTAGAGGTTTGTTGCATTGGTTTATCTAAATTTAGGATTCAACTCTTTTGTCGAATTCTTGTTTACTTTTGCAAGTTTTTCATAAATGTTCATAATTATTTCTTATGTGCTGAAAAAATACTCAAATGCTTTGAAAGTTTTATTTTTTAAAAATCTCTCTTGAATTGTGAATTAATTAACAGCTTTTATGCATTAACACCTAGTCTTGGTTTCAACGATGCTCAAAATAATGAGTTTGAAAGTAAATTTTTTTCTACATGTTTTTTGTCTTGTAATGGTATCCTCTTATATCATCCTTATGACGAATATGAATATTAAAAGTGCTAAATTACGAAAATACCTATGGCCAATGTGTTATACAAAAAATAGAAGTTTAAATCAAATATATAAAAACACATTGAATGCAATGAATTCTGCAAATATGTTCTCTTAATGTAACAAGAATGATGGATATTGTATTGTATATTAATAATGTAGATGTTATTTAAGCGTTGAATTTCATATAAGTGTTTCTAAAAAATTTTGAACTTCATTGAATGTTATTTAAACTGAAGAATTTTCTTTGGAAGAAATCAAATTAAAGAATAGTGCTGTTTTAGTATGCTGAAAAAAATATAATAATTTACTGAACCAAATTATTTGTATCAAAGTTACAAGTTTTCAAAATCACAATATGTAAATAATAAAAATAATAATGAATGACAATTTAGTAAATAATACATAAAATTAATATAGGTTGTAGTGGTTGCAACATATTTGAACACACAGATATCTAAATTATTAAATGTCTTAAAATATTGTACAGGATTTTAATAAAATGTAAGTCCATCTATCACTGTTTTCTCATAAATAACAAATAAAACAACTCATAAAAATGTCTCTTCTTTAACTGAATAAAAATCGGGTGAATTATTTTATTCAAAAGATCAAAAAAATATTAAACTAATCTTTATTTTCAAAGGACAACATTTTCTTTCTGTCACCCAAACAGTGTTTCAATTGCTTAATTTTGCTCAGGTTGGTTAAAGACACTGGTGTAAATGAAAATACTGTCACAATAAGGTTCATAGAAATTATCAATGTCTCTAAATACAATTCTCTCATAGTTCTTATCTATGCATGTGTGTCATTTAAAAAGATAAAAGTATTTTTAATGATTCAATTGTATATATTATATTTTCAGGTAAAACTTTACACAAAGAAATTCATTTACATGTTTCAAGCATTTTAAATGGTATGAAAAACCTGTGTTCAGCAATTATTAACCAAAGGTATTGTCATATCATTTTTACCCATTATGTAATTTTTGTAAATTCTTCTTCTTATATCTTAACTTTATAATGACTTAAAAAAAATGACACAAACTTTAAATGTTGAGTTACTGGAGAATCTGATACAAGGTTGGCTTTTTGCTGGCAGAAACTGGTTATAACCGGTAAAAACTGGCAGAAACTAAAAAAAAACGTCTATGTTAGTTCTAGTAATTGCTTAATGACATTTTGTTTAAGTAAACTGAAAAATGTAACTCCATGTAACTGTAACAAACTTTTTAATTCATTGTTTGCAAATATATATTGTTTTTTTTATATTAAATATAAAGAGTGCAGTATATCAAATATCTATATAAAATAAAGAATAAAGTAATGTGATAATCAATATAAATACTAGATTTTAGTTTATTATATTAAACTCTGAAATTCAGTAATTATTATCATTTAACTCTTAACATAACTGAATGGAGCTGATTTCAAATAGTTTTTTTCTTTTCGAAACATAATTTGCATGACAACAATCCAATTGGGTATAATATAGCCTACGTCACAGGTTGTGTTGTTCCTACTAAATTTAACCCATGAACGGCATTTTCTGCGAGCCTAACTTCAAGCCACAAATAAACAAACGAAGTGTTCGATCGTTTAAATAGCTGCTCGCCAGATTTTATTGCATTATAAAGAAAAGTTATTGAAACTAAATACAACTAAATAAACAACAACAACTAAAACAAATAACAACAACTACTAATAACAATAACTAAATAAACAACAACTAAATTCCATTCGTTTAGAATTGCATCATACGTTGTTCCTACTAAATCGAAGTAGTTGTGTTTTTTTCATATTATACCCCATTACTATTATAACAGTAACAGTTTTAATCTTTGCTGTATGTTGATTCTGCCCCAGCTGCTACATAGTGGTCCAGTTTTAAAAAATATGCAGTAGATGAAAGTTTTACAAATCTTGCTTGTTCCTTGATGGCAATGCCTGCTAGTTCTGCTGGACTTGAGAGAATCTTCTCAAATTTCTCGTTCGTACATAGCAAATTGAGAAATTGTTTAAGTTTAGAAACTGCATCAAAACTTGTCTTTCGTTATAGATTACTGCAGAGTGCAAACAATGTAATATTTGATTTTGAAATTTTGTAAACAAATTGTACTTTGCTTAACATTTAATTGTTTTCTCTATGAATTATCCATTGTATGGCAATCTCAGTACTTTTATGTCATTTTCTGAATTTCTGCCACAAATGTGGCAGAAAAGGGTTTCAGCCATGTCAGTTTTAACTGGTTTCTACTAGTGGTTTTAACCACCTAGGCAGAAACTTGCCAACCTTGATCTGATATCACCGATGAATTGTTCAATTAAGTTTTTTCTGAACTTGGTGAACTCATGCCAATGTTGATAGTATATATTTTTTTTTCTCTAGATTTTGGTGTGAATATTTAAAAAAAAATTTGATTCTGAGAGCATGAAGAATTTTTCAATTATTATAATAAACTATATATATATATATACATAGTGTGTAACGTTTTTAAAAAGTGCTTAAAGGTGCTTATTTTAGATTTTCCTTTTCTAAAATCGCTTAAAGGTGCTTTTTTCATTAGTTGTGCTTAATTTTCCCTTTTCCAAAATGAGATTTTTTTTTCTTTACCATGACAATTTTAACCACACATTATGCAAAATCGTACTTTTCACATTGCTCTATTCAATGTTTTCACAATTCAATCAAAAGCAATCCATTTTGGCGTACGGTCGATCTGGTAGCGTATGAAAGCGCCCATCATTTTACATATTTTATGAAATTCTTGCGAGTCCGCATGTGTGTATAGTGAGCTGGGTTTGATGAGATTATTGCACTCCCGTGTGCAACTAACTCTGCTGCATTTTGTTAGATATTCTCAATTTCAAGCTTCATTTTTCTACCCTCTGAAATTTAACCGAAAAATCTCCAGATCATTTTTTAATGGCTAATGTAATCAAGAAAAGAGTTATTTGTCAAAAGAAAAAGTCTTTGAAAAATTATTTTGCATTTTATTGATGTATATAGTGCTAAAAATTAATTAAAAGGTGTTTATTTTTGTTGAAAGATTTTTCTATGCACCCTGATATATATATATATATAANGATCTATGGGGCAGGAACAAAATATATATGTATGCTGGCCGAGTGGTTAACGTGTCTGACTGCGGAGCCAATGGCCGCGGGTTCGAATCCCGCTCTGGGCATGAATGTTTCTCTCTGTGTGTTGTCTTCTGTTGTGTGAATGTGGCCCACCCTATGTGGCAGTATAGCGGGGGTAACGTTGCTCGCCTCCGTGACTTTGGTTCACAGGTGCCCACTGGGTAACGCTAAATGAGTAACAATGCCGGCATCTTCTATGGCAAAGAACAAAAAGTTCAGTGCCTGCCGTTATGTAAATATATATATATGTATGTATTCAGTTCACATTTCAGTAGTCAGCGGCTGCATATGGCCTGCAGGTCACAGGTTCTGCACCCTTAATATAATATAACTTGCTTTTTGTGCACCCAAAGCATTGCTAAAATAGATTTTACCTTTTTTTTTACGTAGAATATGAAATAAAGTATAGGATTTCTTTTTCATTTGAGTTAGATTTTCTACAAATTTATTAATTATTAATCATTTATGATACATGAGAGACATTTATGATACACACAATTTTTATTAGACAAAGTTGCTGATTTAAATCTTTGTTATTGCGCATTTACCTGAAGTTTTAAGTGCACAAAAGTGAAAAGATAATTGTTTTTCTATTTTAAAATTATTTTATTCTTAGTAATATATCCTTTCATTTTATCCTTTTAATAGTATTATTATCCATTTAATAGTATTTTATCCTTTTAATATTATTTAGACTTCAAAATTACTACTGTAGACAGCGCTTAAAAATATGTAGTATTTCTGGCAACCCTGATAAGACTCAATCTCTCGGTAGATGAAGGTTGGTCCTTAATTACTTTCGTTACAATCGTGACACCTATGGGCATGATTTGAACTCACCTTCATCGAAAGTTACGCTCACTTTGATGAATGGTCCACACTGAGCAGATAACTTGTTATTTGTGATTGCGTTTTGTCCTCCTCGGACTCTCTGTCTCATTTACTCACCTGCACGCACTCGACTGCTAATAGCAACACGGGAGAGACACACAACTCTGAACTTATTGCAGCTCTCACGACGCTCAAAACTCGTTCAACTTAATACAGCTCTCCCCACAAGTGCTCAAAGTCTGGTTGAACTTAACACAGCTCTCCCAGTCTTTCCTAATATAGCAACAAGTGGTATTGTTATCAAATACTATAACTGATGAAATTCTGGTGGAGGAGCATTATGGTGTAATGAATATTTAAACAACAATTTACTAGTATATAAGACATGTTAACTGGATTCGGTCTTGGGGTATTGTTTGATAGATGAAGGTTGTCGATAATTACTACCCCCACACAACAGTTTTCTTAGAAATGTGGCCCACCCTGTGTACCCTTTTAGAATTCATCCTCTTTGTCTTTTTTGTAAATTTGTTGTACCCATTTTCTCTTTCAGAAAAAATTTTCTTTTATTTATTTTAAGAGAAAGAAACAGGAATTGTCATGACTACTGCAAATTATTTTTAGGCTAAATTAATCTAAAATATTTTTTTCCATATTTATTTAAGTGTTTTGAAGGACCCTCTATCTTTTAGAATTGAAAATTGTCCCTGTTTTTGATGTCCTCTTTTATTTTTAGGGAAATCTCTGTTCCCCACATTTTCAATGAAAACGTCTTTCCACTTAGAGTGTTTCAGTATTGCTGTTAGAGACATATGAGCAAATCTATTAAAACATAATTTTTGAAGTTTCCCCATAGCTATTTTATAAAATATTAATAAATTATGATAAATGCCAAAGAAGTTTTTCTTTTGTGTTCGTAATTTTTATATTAAAAAATTTGTATAACCTATAAAATACTAGTGAAAGTTATTTTTCCCTTTCATGATACCAGCTCATTATTCTATAATAAATCTATTTATAATATATTTATTAATAGTTGGAAATGATAGTGACCTTATGCTCAGATTAATTTACAGTGAAGAGGAATATATATGTATTTTGAAAGTAAAGTAAAACTATACTTTTTTGATTTCCATTATGTTTTGAACTTTTTTTCTTTGTCAAAAAATATATTTTAAGATCTATCAAAAATATTAAAATAATTATATACCAGGGCTGCCACTGAGAATGGGGAAAGCCTGGTAAACGCAGGGACTTTAAAAATCACCTAAAATAACAGAGAATTTTAAGTTTTTCCTTACAAACTGGAAAAATACAGAGAATTATATTTCTTATTTTCGTTTTTTGAAAGTAGTGACCATTCAAAGTGGAATCTCTGGAATATGTTAGGATGATATTTGAGCTATACTGAACTATTTCATTTACTATAGCATTATTTAAGTATGTGTAGCTGTTCCTCATTTTTTTTTCTCTAAGTTTTTTCAGCAATTAAAACTAATAAATGCAGTTAGGTCAATATAGCTCACACAAGCTGTTTCCTCTTAATTGTATTGTGTACAGGGAATTTTTTTTCCAGATTTGAGTGCCAACCCTGTTCTATACATTTACTTACTGTAAACCAAACAAACATTGCATTCAACTTACCCTATTGTGTTTTTGTTCTCTTCATATTTTTCTAATTGCTCTTTATATATATATATTTATTTTTTTCTTTTGTAGCGGTCATTTACAAAATGTTGGTAATGTTTGGGCTGATTGTGAAGCTGTTGAAAGTCTTCCTAAAAGTAAACTAACTTTATTTATTTTAGAGGACGCCTTTAATGTAAACAATGCGGGGTTGCCACTCCACAGGGAAAACCTGGAAAATACAGGGATATTAAAAATCACATAAAATAACAGGAAAAATACAGAGAAAAAATTTTTTTTCTTTACAAACTGGAGAAATGCTGGGAATTATATTTCTTGTTTTCGTCTTTTAAAAAATTTTGACCACTCAAAGCAGCTCAATCTATGTAATATTTAATGATTATATTTGAGCTATACTAAATTATTTCATTTACTATAGCATTATTTAAATATGTTCCAGCAATCAAAATTAATACATACAGTTAGCCCAATATAGCTCACATACAAGATGTTTCCTCTTAATATACAGGGAATTCCAAATTTGACTGGCAATCCTGGATTGACAGCTAATGGAAAATCAATATTTTTCATTACAAAATTTATGTTAGAAGGAATGTATTTCTATATTATACATGTGCATTTATAATTGTTTTTTTTTTTTATGACTAAAACTGAACTCTTAAACGGGAAATAAGGATGAACTGATCTATGGGGCAGGAACAAAACTCACCAAATTTAATGGAACTGAAACTATATGATCTACATATATATCACAACACCTTTCTTTTCGTAGTTTATTGTATGAAGGTTAGATTGGGCAGTCTAAATATATGAATGGAGAAATATGAAAAAGCATTCAATGTGATCTTTTAGCTAGGAAATCAATACGTCCTTCCTCGTGGCTTCAAAATCTTGGGAAAATATTACCAAAACATTGAAACAACAGAAATTATAAAACAGTGCCATTGACTGATAATTCAAATATAATAAGAAACAAACTGCTTATTCACCACCAGAGTATGCTATGAATTGTCCAAACCTGTTGACTTGTAGGGGAGGATATGCTGGCAACAGAACAGAAAATATGGATGCAGCCATACTTCATCATCATCATCAATGGCTCGACAGCCCAGGGTGGGCCTTGGCCTTTTCAAGAAGTTTTTTCCGGGCTAACCTTTTTTTTGCATATATATGAGTTTATTTACAGCTTACATTTTAAAAAAAATAAAAATAATCAATAGTTAGTATTAAATGCATCTTTGTAAAAGAAGTAAAAAAATTTTTGATTGAGCTGAAGTAGATATTGAGAAACAGCAAATTCATATTGTTTCTCTTGACTGAAATATACATATTTGTTTTTATGTGCATGCTTGTAAATCTGCACACATTTGTATTCTATTTTATAGTTTATCTGCTGGAAAGTTCTTTTTACAGAAATACTTCTCTTTCCCAATATTCACTTGCTCCAATGCTTGAGATACACAAAATTTGTTTTTATTTATGTCCTTAATCCCACATAGCAGAAATGCAGTGACTTCGCATCTTTGTCGCAGTACGTTACACAGCTCAAACAGAAAGATTTTTCTCTTTGGAAGTAAAAATTTTTGATTTTCTGCAGAGATTTACATTTAAAATGTGAATCCAGCAGATAAATTGTCACTTTTTGATGTTCTAAATTTACACCAATAGCACCGTAAATCCATTTAGTGTTTCAATTTTGTTTTAGGCAGTTATTGATATAGATTTTCACATGCTTTTTAAATATCCAGATACATTTCAGACGATATGGGAAATTTGATTGCGCATTTGAGTATTTATTTTTTAAGGTTATGATTTTGTGGTTTTTTTTTTCCTTTGGCTGTTATTGCTTTGATTTCCACCACATAGTCTTTAAAATCTAATAAACTGAATTTTTTTTTAATATTATTTATTACAACAATCAAATCTTGAAACGAAGCACGCATTTGAGTAACTTTTTAAAGGATCCGGTTCACAAAATTTTGTCATCGATCTGTTTTTCGGTAATTACTGCTCTGGATTTCATGAATATTTGTAAATGTGATAATGATTTACAAGTGTGATAACGGAAATAATTATAATTTTTTTAATTATAAATAATTATTTTATAATTAATAAATATTATTTTTTAATAATAATAAAATTATAGTTTTTTTTTCCTTTCTTTTTTTCTCAACCACAGTGTTTTTGTTACTTTAAATTAGTATTATACATCTTTGTTATTATTGAAAGAAATTAGTGCTAGAGAGTTTTGTTGCAGAAAGCCAGAAAAAATTCTGCCACAGGGCATTAAAGACCTACTGATTTAAAACATTTAGCAATAATTTGTCAGTCTAATGATACTTTCTTTATACAAATGGGCAAAAGCAGGCATTTAAAAGTTAAGCATTCGTGAAATATTTTCATCATCATTATCATAGTTGGCCAGACAGCCCAATGTGGGCCAATGCCTTCCTCCGAAGATTTCTCCATGAGAACTTCCGATGTATATTTGATCTCCAATTTTTTTCATTAATTTTTTTAAAAAATCAGGCCGAGTCGGCCCATCTCGAATGCGGCATTCCCCGCTTTCTTGTTCCAGTGGGTCTAAAAGGCAGCTTCTTCTTAATTGTATTGTCATCACTCTTTCGAATCACGTGGGCCATCCAATTCATTCCATTTATTTTTATGTATTTAATAATATCGAGTTGTTTATAAATCTTGTACAGTTCAAAGTTAAATCTCCCGTTATTTCTCCTCTCCCGCTTTCATTTACACCACAGAGTATATTCCACAAATTCTTTCTCTCAAATATTGTGATACACTTTTCCTCCAGTTTTGTCATGGTCCAAGCTTCAAAAGCGTATGTCAAGACTGGCCTAACAAGAGTTTTGTAGATAAAGAACTTTGTTTTTCTAGAAAGAAACCTAGATTTAATCAATTTTCTCAGCCCATAGACAGACCTATTCACCAGATAGAGTCAGTTTTTTAATTCAGGAGTCATTCTGTTGTCAATAGTAATACAGTGTAACGTCCCATATCCGGACGTCCCTTTCCCGGAAGGGTCGATTTCCCGGACACTTTTTAACAATCAAAATAAACAAACATCTCTCCATCTTCCCCTTTCCTTAAAAAAAAAAAAAAAAAAAATCTTTTGACACATTTTCTTTTTTTCTAGCTTGCACTGAACCTCTGATTCATGCATCGAACCCATAAATCACCAGAAAGGGGAAGTGAAGTTCTACCAAGTCCATTGAGTGACCGTTAGTGACGCTCCTCCCTTGGAATGTAGGAAAAAGAGGGAGATTTGTTTTCAAAAGAC